TAAGTTTTACAGTGGTAGAGACATAACTAGGATCAGCACAGTTCATTGATGCTTGAATAAACGGTTTGTATACTATGGATAATGGTTCTTTTTGTTGGCCGAAACAGGTGACGGTGACTTTTACGGTGATGTCGTTTACGTGAGGTGAAGGTCGTTATCTTCAGTGTGAATTTGTATTATTTGAGAGAGGAAACCGATGAATGTGACGTGCGGTCGTATATGTTAGTCAACGTAAAATCAGACGATTCATATTATGCTTACTAGCCCATAAAACATGTAGCTTTAACTTCTTTATTGAGTCCCCCAGTTGACACATCCATTTTCTCCCCGTTTCAGTATGCCTGAATCCTCCTTTTTCTCTCATGTACCTCAAAGACTCTGATATTCTTTAGTATCTCATATCATGTTATGAAATTTGAAATTGCAACTTAAGTCGTACCGTTAGAGTAAGTAAGATGTATCTGATTACAAATGAAACATTCAAGATTCCTTATCAGTGTTCACCAGTGTTCATGATTTAACAGTTGAATTGTCATTCACCCAGTGTAGAAGTAATATAACGTAAATACGTCTGTCGTCTAGACAAGAGAGTTTGTTGGTGTTGTCATGTTTCTCGGTTCCCTGACGCTGATTCCCGTTTGTCTCCAGATCGAGGGTGGGCTTAATTGAAACCCACCGGTCGCTCGGAGCCGGTGGATACCCAGCAGTGGTCAATATAGGAGTGATGGCGCTGATTCGGCGTGATTAATCGGCTCTACTCTACCTCGTGGGCCGAGGCCCCCAAACCCATCTCGGGTCGGAGTGTAACCGACCACAACAACAGTTGTTAGAGGCGCCAGTGCTATACCCTGGGACAGGCCTTGGAATTATGGTCCACAGTGTGGTTGTATGTGTTTTTTTTACCAGTGTGTTTTATAAGAAATAAATCAATGAAGACATGTTATGGTTTCACCCTTCTTTACCCTTATCGATCTGATCAATGGAAAACCTAACCCAATGCCTAGTCCACTCTGCCCGCTACCTAACGAGCTACATGCTGTCCAGAGGGGGTCTGGTGGCAGCGACCCTTAGAAATTAAGATTAGAGTTAAGTTATCCCCTTAGATTTAGTGACCCCAGTCTGGCAGTATACTGGGATAAAACACCAGCGTCTTTTTGGTTTAATGTACATCTCACAGCCAGTACGAGTGACGAATTCCTAATATCGCCCTTGGGTGATGCCATGAGTTGCCAACTGATACTGAAGTTAGATCGTTTAAATTCCCAATCATCAGATAATCTGATGTTTGTATTGAAATTATTGTCAGTTTTATATTTTACAAAGTAATTAATATTCTGAAAAGAATATGTCAGTCTTCTTATATCCAAGATCTAACTGCAAACTCTCAGTTGACCTTTTGTCTGAATTTTTGATGAGGTCGTAAGAAAGACACTGTCAGGTTATGCATTTGATGTCCATTTCAATAATGCCTGGCAAGCTCAAACTCTGATTATATTGTAACAGTAGATATAAGAAATTGACCTGACTCATGACACTGATTTTCATAGCCAAATGTACAGCAACTGATTTAAATGTATGTAAATGCGCGAATTGCTCGTGTGGCATGCCTGAGTTGCCAGTTAGCCTCGTATATAAATGCTTGCGCGAGTGAGGGCGACACTTTGTGATGCCTTCCTCATCATCTCTCACGTATGTCTCACACCAACAATATTAAGTTAGTTTAACTCAGTTGTACCTTGTGAATATCAATGTTCATGTTTTAACATAGTGAAATTCTCATGTGCCAAGTAAGAATAAACGTAACGTAAATATCGCCTGTGTCATTGCCAGACGTACGATTGTGTGTAATTGAGTTAGATTTTTAAAACACTTTTGTGATGGCTTCCTCATCGTCTCTCATGCACAGTGTGTTGTAGCTGAATACCAGCCAGATGTCGAAGACAGATGTCCGAGACAGGATGTCTTTAATTCAGCGAGATTAAAGCCAAGGACTAACGCCCCCTGGGAGCTATACACCGGTGAGATGAGTTTTCTAGCCGTGCGTGGGAGTCCAACCGACGCTAGCAGCGCGCTTCATTTGTTGCAGTAAACACCAGTGAATGACCCAGGTGTATTATTCTCAGTTATTCGTGCAAAGTAGTGTTCTTGTATATGAACGGGGATAATTAGCAGAAATATAATTGTCCCAAGTTGAGTATTGAAACCATAAATATTGATATTACCAGTATTAAAGTTTGTTATGTGTTGTGAGTAAACCATCAACATATACTCCCAACTGTTGCATGTTGTTCTTTCCGAAATAAGATGGTGTTAATATTAATATAGTAATATATGTGCTATTGACAAGTGAGTAGCATAACTATCTTTATTGTCAAAGAAATAATACTCCCAACTGAGACCTGGTACATGTTCCATGTTGTTCATTCAGAAATAACATGATTAGATTGGTATCCCCGCATCCCCTGAGCAACGCTCTTGTGCATTATGCAGAAGACCCAACAGCTGCACCCTTATCCACTACCTCCTAAGATGTCCCCACACACAACGCTTCCGTGACGCCTGCTGGACCACCACTCCACGACCCCCTGACGGAGACACGATGATCCTCCCCATAATGGCCAGATACTATGTAAATAATATTGATAATGTGTTAAAGGAATATCCTTCCTTCCTTAGGCTTTAGTAAGCCCCTTTATAATATTTATACTGTATATACTTGTGACACTAGCCAGATGCTTCTGGTGTTATTGTACAGGGGTACCTAGTGACAGCACTAGGATCCCGCTTCCTCTATCAAGGAATAAACTATTGAAATTGAAATTGAATAATTACTCAGATATGATGGAAACCTTAATATCATTACTCATAACATACTTTAAATAAGGGTGAACAAGTTGATTACAGTTCTGTAAGTGCAAAAATTAAGACTTAAACGAACCTGAAATTCGTTATATTTCGTGCAGAAATATGCGAACACCTAGCAACGAGAGAAGAAACGTAGTGGAGTAGCTGCTCTGGTTGTTGTGTGGTTTCAGAGTCCGGGAGAAATTACCTTTACAACGGACCAATTTTTTTTTTATTCTTATTTATTGTTGACTGATTGACTTTTTCCTTTTTTGTCTTTCTTTCCATAATTTTCTATAATATTTTCTTCACTATTTCTTTCTGTATTGTGTCCAAATAACAGTTCTTCTAATTTTATTGTTTTCTGAAGACTGTTGTACGACAGGTATTCCCAGACGTAGGTGCAATGTCGTATTTTTTTTAATGACAGTCCGGGAATAGCTAACACGTTAGCTATTCCGTGCATCTAGAACGCCTTTAGTAACACAGTAACCTAACCTAACGAAATCTGATAAGTCGCTCGCAGAAAACCTAACCTACGACAGATGTACCAAGGTGATGATCACAGACTAGGCTATATGTATCCGATACAAGATGACTGAAAGTAGCAGGACGATAATGAAATTAGGAATTATTCAAGTGTTGATCTTAAAACATGTGGGGAATGAGTGAGAGAAGGCATAGGAGGAACAGGGTGAAGAGATGGGATGAAAGTATTGGGCCATGCGACACTGTGTTATGAATATATTGACTGTTTGAGTGTGATGGTAGTTAACCTGGGCTTGGCGACAGGAGACAAAGCTGTCATAACGCTTTAAAGGACTCTAATGTTACTAAACATATGATGGCTTCGTTAGGTTACCCTGGAACGAATCAACATAGTTTATCGTCGCTTCTAAACCTGCACTCTATTATACACTGATTGTATACTTTAAGTCTGCCAGTGTCCAATGAATACGTGCTATATACTGTGCATGCTGAATCAATGATAACTTGTATGGCAATTTTACTGAATATCTATCTATTTGGTTTGGGCTCCAAGAGTAATTGTAAACATTGGTTAGTATCTATTACCAAGGGTTCCAAGTGTGAAAATCAGTAACGTTATTTGGACCTGATGTTATCTATTAACAAAATAGAAAAACATGCATAATAAATTATTGTGTCTGTTAAGTAAGTGGATTAATTGCAAGTCAAATTGAATTGTAATTTTCCTTTTTCTTTATTATTAAAATTATTATCTGATGAAAAATGATTGATTACTCAGTAACTTATACTTTATCCTCTTCGCCACCGATCGACTTGTTACCGTATGTATATCGACTAAATTTCAAGTTTTGTTAAATTAGTCGTTAAAAATCTGAATGTGATATGCCTATAGTATTTAAATTACTAGGTGAACATCATTTTCAAAAGCAAATAGAAATATTCAAATGAAAGGGAAAACGAACAATAATTAAGGATAACGCTATTCAATCCTCGAACGATAATACATTAGTCGTAAGTTTAAAACCATTGTTGGCAACCGCTTGTAATTTACAAAACACATGGTAACGGGTAGTAAAGTCAAGCTGGTAAACACAGTGAACTCATATATAAATGTATATTTTACCTCTCACCACCCACTTGGTATAACTTGTGGTACAGTCATACCCGCTGATGTTACTGCTACCAGAGGTTTACCAGACAAGTTTCCTCATAATACTCACATTTCCTCATACCAAGTATTACCAACACTGGGCCTCTAATAAGCTAGGTTGGCCACAACTAGTACAGTTTTCCTAAGTAAATATATCACAATTATATCAAAAGTCAATGGTAGTCAGTTATATACACCACCTCAAGCAATAGCTAATGTTAAAGATGATGGACGCACAGAACTGTGTAAACTTTATATATAATTTTAAAGGACTACATTAACCAAAATTACACTGACCTAAGAAAAATTACCAGATTATTATAAAAACACCAAATTTAGTTAGGTTTTGTTTATGTCCACTCCCTTAGGGAATTTGGTTTACCAATTGTCTTGTATAATTTTAACATTAGTCTTCTTGCTGCCTCCATGTGGGTTACTGGTAAACACACGAACAGCAGTAATAATAGAGTAAGATATTAATATTTTGTGTTAGTAATGGTGAGATGGATTAGTTAATGTGACACTGAAAGACAGGAAACGCTGTTCAGAGGCTGTGTATTGGCAAGATTTCGTGTAGAGGAAGGCCGAGATGGTTCAGGCATGTGGAAAGAAGGGAGATAAATTGGGTTAAAATATGCGTGAATATTAATGGGAAGGTAAGATCAGCTTGGAGCAGGCCAAGAATATAGGCCAGAATGTAGGAAAGGATTCTTGTCGTTTATGTTAAGTAATGTTTTGGGTAATACTCTGGAACAAGTGCGGGTTAACCAGCAATTTTAGAACATTTTTGTTAAGATAATTTCTTTACATCAAGAATATCCATAAAAACACACGAGAATTTGCAATATTCTTGATATTATTGTGGCGATCATTTTCACATCCTGAACACTAATGTACGACCACAGCGAGTGTTGTGAAGTGACCGTTTCAACAACAAGTTACCAACAACTACTGCATTACTATTTATGATTTTGGGAGATAAGGTAGACCAACCTAACTTACCAAACTTATAATAGATTCATCTTCTCTCCAATAAACCTTTCAGTAAAACATAGTAGTAACTGGTATATGAAATGTTCAGAAAAAATCACCAAAATAATTTGAAAATTGCAAAGCCTTCTCATTTTTGGGGGGATCATCTTGAGGTAAGTAAGTGCTTACCTTCTATACAAAAAAGATCTCAAGCTGCTGCTCATTTATGTGTATGGAACGTTCGCTGTGAAGTGCTCCTACATATGAGTCAGTATGTAAGTAATAATGATGGCATTACTGGGAGATAACACATGCACTAAGTGATCAGGTTGAAAAAAAAACACGATGCAGGTACAGGTATAACAGCCTCAGACTGTGTGGTTAATGGTACAGCAGAGGATCGCACGTGCAAAATGTACGCAGTGCTTCCTTCTGCTTGGGCAGAGCGGTTAGGTTTGTCAGAAAGAAGGCCATCTTAGCAACTATCGTTGTATAGTCTGCCCGTGCATGAGGCTGCTGTATCAATATACTGTACATCAATGTGTCACACGGCTGCCGTACCTATACAGTATCTTGCCAAATTTATATTACAAATAGCTGTTGCATATCTTCATCATTTTAAGGGATATTCTTGGAAGAAAGAAGTTTTTTCTGAAAAAAAATTTCTCTTACTTGTTGGTTAACCCGAACACTCGTTCCAGAGTATTACCTGTGCCATGTTTCGTTTCTTTGGGATTTCACTGAAAGTTAAATAAGGGAAATTGAAAACCTAACACACTGAAGCATTGCTTGGTTTTAACCCCAAAGGCTTGGATAGCCTCATTTTTGGCATACATGGGAAAGACAATAAATAAATTTATTTGAAAAATAAAAAAATTATACTAATACAATACTGTATTGGATATTTACCTCACAAAGGTTGCCGAGATGGGATTTAAAAATCAGGCAGTCAGAGGGTACTCAGTATTACCAGGGAGCCAGTGATGGGAGTGTGAGCGTGCTCCTCTATATATGAGTTCAGTCTATTTGGGGACTGTGTCTACTTGTTTTTGGAGCTTGGGATGTGCTTTCTATTTTCGAGCTCTGGATGCAGAGATCTTTATTTACCAGTACTAAACTTATCTGGGAGGGGGGTCCTCAGCTTGGAGTCATGAAATGTGATCCTCCCATACTGTCCAGAATACAACTGATCTTTGCTCAAGAATTTCTCCAAGGAGAAGATGCCAAAAGTCTCCAGCTAGTACATGTCAATCAAAAAAGCAAATTGATTTTAAAATTTTGGCACCAAATCAAATGACTCCATTGAGTTACCGGTAGTCTGAAATCCGACAGAAAATCTCAAGAGGTCGTCTGAGCTTTAGGAGTCGAGAGTATTGGTAATGATGTATTTATTTTAGTTTCACAAGTAAACCACAGATTTTTTAACTTGTTTTGTATTGAAGACAAGTTTTTCTGGACATCAAGAAAACCATGAATTAGGTACAGTACAGGATTTACAGTTTTCATACCTTTATTTTCTCATTGATATTTGTACTGAACAGTACAGTAATCTATGTCCGCCCAACACTATTTTGGGCTTGATCTGATGATTACCGTAGCTACGTACGGACGCTTCCAGTGACCTCTCCATCCGAATATAAGTGTCTATATATTATACATACCGGGGTATGTGATGTATGCAAGATAAGATAAAGCATTGTAACGTAATACTGTACAGGTATAATGATTTAATATATTTTATTTAGGTTACGTTGGTTCATCTTACATTGTATAAATCATATACTGTACTGTACTGCAACTCTCAATTGTAGGGAGTACTCACATGTATGTTACAGTCACTGGAGTCCTTATACCTGGCATTCTGGATGGATGAGACAGAACAAGTTACCAACACACATTAGACCAGAATGAGTTGTAGAATTGATAATGGTAAAAATAGGATTAAAAGATCTGATTTGGGAAAGAATAAAGAAAACTACACTGCGCTGAGGTGCAACACATGTAAGACAAGTGGTTCTACACAGATTTTATGGTATAGAAACTACTAGTTGTAGGTGATGTAGAGCTAGACTACTTAAGAGATGATTTTACATGCATAACCTTTTACTTTTATTCTCTTCACCACTGATCGGCTAGTTAGCCGCTTGGTTACTTCTCTGTTACTCACTGTTGGCAAGTACTGGCTCCTGAATGTATCTGAACCTGCTCCAGTGCTTATCCAGTCTGGTCTTGAAAGAGCTCACACTCGGTGCCATAACAACACACACTGGCAGCTTGTTCCAAGAGTTCACAACTGTCACTCAGAAAAAGTTACCCCTCACAGTTTTCTGGGCTTGCGGCTTCTTCAACCTTAAGCTGTGACCCCTTGTGGGACGAGCATCTGCCAGCTCTAGGTAAGGGCACACGATGGAGTAGTGCCCTTTGAGATGCTTGTATACCTCAATTAGATCTCCCCTTGCCCATCTGTAGTATAAGTTAGGCAATTTCAGGCGCTCTAATCTCTCAGGGTAGCTGAGGTGCTGCAGTGCAGGCACCAGTCTGGTGGCCCTCCTTTGGACATTTTCATTCAACTGACAGTCCCTAGCATATCTTGGGGACCAGTCGGGGAAGCACTTCACTCTTGAAGATCGTTACGAGGGACGGGCCGTCTAGATATCTGAACGGCCTTCTTATAAGACCTAATAATTTATTTGCTTACTTTACCTTCTTTTCGCAATGGCCTGAAAACTTCAGCTCATCGTCAACGTACACATCTAGGTCCTTTTCACATTCTCACACTGAATGCAGTTTCTTCGTCCTGTTGGGACATATGATACGCAATGACTACCCTAGGTCCCTCTACTACACTTACTAATTTATTATGGTATGAAAGGAATAATTTATAATTACTGTATGGTAGAAAAATTTATTAATAACAACTGAAAAAATGTACTGTGCGTTCAGTTACGTGTAAAGTATATTATGATAATGATAATTTTTCCTCTTCTAAGCCTTCTTTTCTCACGATATACAGTGCCGATAATACCGTACTGTACTCATTTTGTGTGAAATTGTTTACAGACTGTGGTTGACATTGTAACATGCAAAAACTGATGCCATGGAAGAGGTTGAGAACAAAGAACTACAGAGCATCATTACTGACGAGTGGGTTGCTGAAACTGCTGGAATACACTATGCCTGGGATGTTTCAGGCCAGGCAGGCAATTTATCCCTTGATATTGCCCGTGGAGTCCTGCAATCTTACAGCACTGTCACTGCTGTGGCAAAATGCTCAGGTTGGTCATTGGCAACATTAGCTACCTTTTTTCCCCTAAGGAAAAGTTTTGAAAACTTTTGTCCGACTTCAACTAAGAAGGGAATGTGTAGAATAGAATCATTATTGAGAAAATACTGAATTATACACATCATACTTCAGGAGAAACAGTGTGATTACAGGAAAGAAAGAATGTATGGATCAGCTGTTTGGGTTAAAAACATTTCCATTATTAGTGCTATGAAACAAAAAAAAAATCAACTAAATTAAAGCAATAACTCCTCAACAGTTACTAAAGCTATAAAAATGATATTGCAGGGAGGCGGCGGCAGGTAGGAGGGTACATACAATGTCCAAAATGTAGCACACCGTGGATTGCTGGATTCTGCCAACCTCGACTTTTAGGGTGCCCACGTAGTGCACGTAATATCAAACATTTACTGAAAAAAGAAAGAAGGCAGCCAAATAAACTAAACACTCTAGAAAAGATGCAAGTTTCTGCTTTCCATTTACATAAAAATATTATTGAGGTGTCTTGCTTAATCTGTAAGTACAAAATGAGAGAGTTATGTTCAGTGCCAGTAAAAGAAAAGCCTGTGGTAGAAACAAAGATTGAGGCCGCTAAGCGTAAAAAGAAAAAGAAGAGAGTTAAGGAAGCGAATGCTGGATTGTGTGTCTCAACCCCAAAGTCTAATACAGTATCCAGGGTTCCTAAATCTGTTTCCATTTCAAGCAAACACACAAAAACCAATCAGAAGGATAGTATGGTTTCAGATTCTTCAGGAAGCAACTTGAGACAAAAAAACATAGATAAATTAGTACAAATGAATATTAATAAAACTGAAAGATGTGATTCATCAAGCAGCGATGGGAAAACCATTTGTGAAAGAGTTGCACAGAGCATTGCCAAGTCATCATACTCGAGTGCATCAAATCATACTACCGATTCTCAACCACATTCCACAATAGCATTAAGTTCAGGTTTCAGGCAAGGGTCTAAGCCTGGAAGTCCTAATCCTAAGCAGAAGAAAGCAAGACAGAAAAAGCTCATGACATTGAAGAGTGCAATGGTAAAGGACATCAATAAAAATAATAGTAGTAGTGATAAGAAGAGTACTCTTAATGACTTTCTTACTAGTCTGTTTTGATATTTACATGCAGACCAAGCTCCACTGATGTCTGTCTGCCCCTAGCTCAGTTAATTTGATTGGTTCTGTGTTGTGTTGCACCAATACATTGGTTTGTTTATTGCCAGATATTTTCTTACCTTTTCAAATCTCAAACTCCCAGTATGGCATCTTTTCCCCTCCAGTGCACAGTATATAGGTATGCCTCGGTGGCTGTGTTTACTGTAGGTATATACCTCGCTATATATTACTTTACTATACATCATTTTGCATTTGTTGGTGAATTAAAAGAACAATTTAATTTTTTTTAACTAAACTCATGAGCCTTTGAATGCCAATCCACCATCTAACCCTCCACTACAGTCACACTGACCAAGTTAAACACAAACACACTAATATTTCCTATAAGCACATTTTGTAAACTATTCCCAGTAATATTTTTTCAATAGTTACTGTATTTCCAATACTATACTGTACAAACACACTAGAAAATAAAAACATTTCAATATAAATTTATAAATGCTATAATCCACACAATGGTAACCAGAGTTTTGTTCGTCACACACACTTCACGTACAGATACATCAAGCTTAGCTAACACACTAAAAGTCCCTACACACTTCATAATAAAGGAATGTAACAATTTTACTAATCGATGATATTACCATAACTGCTACAAGGAGCTGTACAATCGGAAGAAAACTGACCAGCTGTCTTTGTTAAGCCCCGTCCACATGATCGAGCACTGCCCGACGGGCACTCGCTTAATGCCCGTTGTTCGGGCAAACCAACCAAGTGACCGTGGTCGAGCGAAATCACCAGATAAGGCCATCTGCCTGGTGGTTTGACCGTTTGCTGCCGGGTATGGATGGGCGACCCTGCCAGACAAACGAAGTTAACCTTGGAACCCTGGCCATCAGTGATAACTTGTTAAAACATACTCTAGTATTTTAGTTTTATTGACGAATAATCATGTTGGTTTGGTTTACGTCTTTATTGTTTAGAGTGGGTTTTCAGATATTTAATTTAAGACTACATAAGCTAGGGAGTATATAATTATGTTAAATACAGTGTATAATAAGTTGTCTATAGCGTTTTGGAAGCAACCTTGTGTCCTAAACAGATGTATCATGTGTATGGAGGGTTATCCCCTTTTACAAAGTGTTATTTTCATTAATAATCGATAAAAACCGGAAACCCTACTAAGCCTAATATATCACATAAGAAGACATGTGTTACCATGGGAACCTCTCGTGACTGTCAAAATTGAATAACTATGTATACTACAAATCTCACCTGCAAGTAACCCTCCTTGAGTACTTCATATATGGCTTGACAAGTTGCAGGTATTATGGTAGACAAACTTTGATATCCTCGTTGTATACTGCAGCGACGTGTAGGAGCACCCAGTTGAAAGAAATACGAGCGTAGCCTCTAGACGAGCCTCTGGAGATGTGCCCTGCCTCATAATGGTATCTTTTTTTTATGTATGGTTCCAATTTAGCGAGAAGTCTATAGAAGGTGTTGGGGTCCATTCTCATGTAGTTACTGAAGTCTTTCTCGGGTTCACCTTGCAGTTCACGTAAAATCGTGGTAGGACTTCCCTAACTTTTCGTTGAGATAACCATTCCTTGCACATTCCCTTTTCTGTTTTTCTTCTTTTTGCACACAAGCAATCATTATACACAGCGCTATAGTCTTCGATTTAACTGTCCTGCGACACACCATGGTGATCGTACCGCAGCAGCTACTGCCGACCACCTACTAGCTACCAGCAGCAGTGTGTGCAACGACACACAGACTTTGTCCGCCAGGCACTGTTCAATCGTGTGGACGGGGCTTTAAAGGTTATCCAGAGATGAAAGGCAGGCAAACTTGCCACTTCATCACGGTACCTCCACCGCAAGCCTCCATACTTAGTCTCCTCAACCATTTTGGGGTATATTTATTTATCTTATATAATGTAGGTATATAATATTTTATTGAGAAAAATCTGACCATAAATGTCCCCCAGCAACCTAACCCCATAACCATATCATTAGATATTCAGTTTACTTAGCCAGAAAAAAACAGATAAAGTGGATAATATCAACAATATTGACATGGCTGAGCCAACAGAGATGCTAAGGTAAACTCTTATTGAATATACTGTACAGTCATTTCACTGAACATTGTTTTCAAAAATGCACGTCTGATGAAAAGCAATGTATGCCTGTAGCATAATCAAGCAATTGATGAAATGTCTCCACCTAGCACATCTAGGTTTACAAGGTCTCACACCTGCCCTTTGCTATGATCATCATGTCCAATGTATATTTTCAGCCTTTAGGCTGCAGAACTTTTTCAATAAACCGTTAATTATTATCATTATTATTATTATTATTATACTTCTGTTTACAGTACAGAACATTCATTTCCCAAGACAAAACATGAAAATAAGGAATAGGGAATGAAAAGCAGTAATTTTTAAATAATTATTTCAAAATAACTATCCATGAATATTTTCATTCATCACAGTACAATAAAATCACATTTAAGGTAACAACCTATCAAGAAGAAAAAAGATGTCACTCGAATCACTAAAAATCCTAATGAATCGACTAATTCAAAATAAGAAAGCAAATATATTAATAACACAATCTGATAATTACCAGTAACTGCATGGACAGTTTTGTAATAAGAATAAAAAATGGTTAGAGGTAATTCACCTGATCTTGAAAGTGGTACGGATTAATCCCGACAAATGTCAATCTAAGAGTAAGGAATGCTACTAATTATGATAGGATTTAATGTTATCACCAACTCCCAAGCTTCTCAATTCACCCTTCATATCTTGCATGAGAAGAAAAAAAACACCCTACATTTATTCACCTACTTAACCCTTAAGCCCCGGGTTAGGGTGCTGCTGGCAGTACCCCCCACGCAGGGTTAAATCGAGAAAAAGATCAACATTTCCGAAATTAATCATAAAAAAAAATGGCTGGAAAATAGGCGGACGTTCTGGAACGTCACCCGGGGCCTAAGGGTTAACCAATTTACATTTCATTATTAAATATACATACTGTATATACTGTAGACTTACAGGCACTTTTCAGTACTGAATATTTTTAATGGCATTGTCCAAACTAAGAAAATCAAGCATTTTATATCATCACTATTGTACTGTATGTAGTACTGTACTGTACTAGATCGCAATCACTAATCTCCAACCCCTTTCCTAATCTTACTCCAATTTGTCTATTTCTGTACATTTCAAAGATTAATATATCATCTATTAATACTTGTATAAACTATATTAACCTATGCAAGGCATTCCATTCATCCTATTAACACTGTATAAAAGAAAATGTTAAATTTCCAATTTCATTACATAGTTTTTTATATACCAGATACATATAGCAGTGGTGATAGGTGTGAAAATTCAACACAGGTCATCCTGCCTTATAAATGAGAAAAGCACATTGGATACTGGTGTGTACTGTATAAAGATACTAATTAATTTTACCAGATGGTTAAAAAATAAATCAGTCGGTAAGATGTTAATCCTGGTAGACTACACCCACACACAAGATACTCCATGTATGGTCATCAAGGGATAAAATTCACCTTGAGGAAGGTATGTCCATTAAATTTACTGTTAGATATAACAGCTACTGTAAGTGGCAAATGGGTTCTTATTCTGGACTTACCAAGAATAAAGGACAACTGTCTCCTCTTATGAGGACACCTAACCAAACCCCTCAAACTAAGATTACTACAAAACGTAAAGTTTCAAATTTTACATTACGATATTATGGATAAAAATAGACAAAATAGATGTGTACAGCCTACATGATGGTGGACTAGGAAATACTGTATACAGCCTGTGGGATGGTGAGCTGAGACTGTACCCTAAAGAATAGAGAGCTAGAAGTGTATGCACAAATATGCTGTACAGTAAACAGGAAAAAATGCAGAGCAGTGTTACAGGATATAGAATATAAAGGCTACAAGGTTACACAATCTAAATATCTACCAACATCCAGTGCACCATTTCCCAAGTTCATGACTCTTGATATATACAAGTGGATTACTAAAATAATCCACAGTAACAAAGGTCAGGCCCAGTCAAACTAATAAAATAATTCATACAAAGTGATGGTCATCTGTGCATGGTTTAGTGAGAAGCAAAGTTGTTGGAATGACATTTACTTAAAGTAGCCCATTCCTTCAATTAAAAATAACAATATGCCCAAGTATTATTACGGTTTCAACTTAAAGTGAAGCTTTACTAGTGTCTAAAATTAACATTACAGGCTACTGCTTTCAATACTGGTGTATCATATTGTCACTTGAGCTAAGACATAAAAACTGATTTTAATTTGTCTGCCATTCCCTACTATCTTCTTTATGACGACTTCCATATTGTTAAGACCAATAACTGATTATTTGGGGAGAGAGATAGGAGGTCTTTCATAAAATCAGGATATACAGGAATAATCATATGTAAAGATATAAACAAAACATTTCACACATGAAAATGTTTGGCATAACATTTAATATATGTGGACATGGATAAAAATATCTAAAAATATTATTTTTATTTCTTTAACCATAAACTACCTAAGTAAGATACAATCTTGCTTACATTTCACCTTTAAAGAAAACACCTATAAAAGCAACAACAAAATATCACCACTAACTAAAGATTTCAAGACTATACTGTACTATGGAAATATTTATTACACTTCATCATTTATGGTACATAAAAATACTCTTTTAACTATAATAGTCAAAATAATGTGTCATTAATTGGTAAGAAATGCTTACAGTTTTTTGCTTTACATAAGCATGGCTTAGATACATTTTTAAGTGAAATATGATCATCAGTATCAATGTGCACTGGGCTTGCAACTTCTGCACTGCCACACAGAGGAACTGAAGGTAAAGTTCCTTGATGAACCTTCACCATCTCCACACTTACTGAACCATCAGGTATATTTACATGAGACAGATTATATCTATTAAAAAAACAAGAATTTGTTGATGTTGCACTACTGTTGTAATCATAACACACCTCCTCTCCCGGGATAATGTCTTTTGTAGCAAATAGGGCAGCAAGGGGAATCATGTTGTTCACTCGGACAGGCACCACCACTAGATTGGGATCACAAGAGTGATTAATGTAACGACCAATGTTTCCCACAACAGTTGGATCGATTACTGTGATCTGAGGTCCAGCAGAACCCTCGACTGTGTATTCTTTTAAGACCAAGATGTAATTTGACTCCTCATCTCTTTGTCTGGAGAATCTCTTCTGAGCTTCCTCAACACTGATCAGCTCACCAGCATATTCACATACAAAAGTGTATACAGGAATGAATTGTGTGGTTACAACACCATATCCCTTGCCAGGAATTTGTCTTACTTCCAATCCAGTAATTGGGCCTTGTTGTACAAGGCGATTTGGACAAGAGTCTGCACAATTACAGTCATCATTGCATTCAAATATTGGCTTTGATTCATGGTTAACCCTTAGCTTCCCACCATAATAAGGGAACCCATGAAGTACAGTACATGAACAACCTTGAGAGCAAACACCATTACATCTGCAGCCTGCTATTATGTCTCTGCTAAACTCACCTTGATCTATGCCAACACCAGGAAATGATGTAACAACATACACAAGACCACAAGTGACATGATCATATTCGTCTTCACTTCGTTGTACCTTTCTCGCTTCTTTTATTTTAATTAAATTATCCAAGGGGGTCAATTTTATCCTCTTTCCATGAAACTCCTGTGAAGCTGAACCCAAATTAACTGAAAAACTTTCTTTTGAAAGGGGATATAAATTATCCTTCTCAGAAAACTTAACATCTGCAGAGGTACCTGAGGAAGTACTTGATTCAACAGTCCCCACAGAACAAGGAGGAGCAGAAGACTCTCCGGTGGGAAAAATATGATCATCGGTGCTAGGAATGAAGGAACATATTTCAACACTTTCAGATAAGCCTAACGTGCTACTTGAGTCTGATGGAACCTTCAATTTCTCAATGTTTTTATCTTTTTTCACTTTGGGATCAAGTGTCTCCACGTCAACATAGGGAGGCTCAGGTTTCCGTCTTCCTTGACAACTACTCACTATTTCATTAGTCTCCCCAAGTTCTTGAGGTACACATTGGTGTTCTTGGAATTTACCACACGTATCAGATTCTACTTCCTTTTTTAACTGGTTAGTAACACAAGTCTGATTTCCAGTTACAATACTCCCATGCACATTTTTACACTTTTTACAATTTTTTATACAATTTGAATCTTGCAGATGTGAGGAATCAACATTAAGGGTTTCCCCATGACTTGGGAATGCTTCTGCCATTTCTTGATTCATCATCATTATTTTCTCCTCACCTGTATTATGAGGAAACACGAGTGGTTGAGGATTCGTGTCTTTCTCGCAATGTATCACTTCCAATGCACTCGTACTTTGTTCACTTACTACCACTTTTGTGAAGTCACTCTGAGCTGCTGTAAGAATAACAAAGATTGTTATATTTACATACATGTTCAAGCTAATTCACTAAATAAAACTGTTTAAACATAGGTAAGAAGGTACTGTACAAATAAAACTGTACAGCTAATGGCATCTGGAACAAGTATTACCACCTACAGATACGAGGAGTTTGACTAACTAGAAATTACCAATTTTGACAATGACCCATTAATTTCTTTGGTAAGAAAGAAAAGAAAAAAGTTCCATTCATCTTAGTACAAAGGCTGTCAAGGTCAAATTAATCAGAAGAGAGTGAGTAATCCTACAGGTTTTCTATACCAGTGACTATTCAGATATTCTACGGTTGTTAGAATAAGGAAAATGTTTCCAGACAATGCTGACTCTCACTTATTCTGTCTGTTGGTATAATGAACACACATCCCAATAATCAAGCAAAAAATGGCTTTGTTCATACTCTACTTGATAAAGAACTACAAGTTGTTAACGGGTTTCAGGTACTGTAATTGTAATTAATGTTCAAATATGACAATTAGAAGAAAACACAGATTAATGCAAATCTATAAGTGAGTGATGACCTGGAAGAGCCTTTGTGAACAGGAAATATTTATGTATGGTACCTTATTTATTTTCTTTATGAATGAAAAACTTAAATCTTTTCCTTCATTTAAATCCACTCAAAAACAATATTTATTTCAAGTTTCTTCATATCATGTAAATATTTGTACTGAAAAACTGTACAGTATAGTATTCAAGTGTTTATGAGACATTTATGAGAACAAATTCAACATATTCCAGCGAGTACACCTGCTCTTACTTTTCCTCATTTCTGCCTTTGTTGTGAAAGAATGTTTGACACTGAAGAGATTGCTGACTGGACTGAGGAGTTAAGTGTTGACTTCGCTGAACTTGGCAGACATTTGTAAACACCATAACCAAGTAGACCATACATGGATATTTTGAATGTCATCTTCAAAATTGTATTAGACAGACTTGGGGGCGGAATCCTGAAATGAAGAATCTTGTTAAATACTAATAGGCAAAGTAAAATGAACACCAGTTTAGAAACTGAAATAAAATAACAATACTTAATGGACATATTCTCTATTTCCAATGAATTAGAGAGAAATTAAGTCCACACATTATAAATGATGTCTGCCAAACCTTCAAAATAATTCACCATAAACAACAGATTAGTTGCAATGAAAAGGTTTGGATTAACATACACACACCTACAGGTAAAAAAGCACAGGTGAAAACATTATCCCTCTGACCAAAACTGACTAAAGGAGAAAAAAAAAGTGTAAATGCATTAAAATTTATCCACAACCAATATAACATTTATCACAATAATAATATAGTGTACGATAGTTCAATTGATTACCAAAATATAATGATGAATCTCTAAACAAGACACTACACTTACTTCATGATAGGAGCGATGTCAGCATCTGTAACTTTGCCCCAATGATTCACAATCCCTGGCACGTGACCAATTCCCACGACACCAACAACAACACGAGGGGAGATTCCTGTAACATAAACATTACATAAAATGTCCTTGTACAGTAGGTTCTCAAATTTTGCGAGTTTTTAATTCGACATTGTTTATTTGGACACAAAATAAAAAACTACACAATTTCAAATTTTGACGGCAGAAACTCGAATTTCGACGGGTTTGAGCAGCCCGCCAACGTTTAGACGTGCACAATCGTGTAAACAGTGTTATTTCTATTATGTACAAAAGATTCATTATTGTGTATTACTGAATGTCGTTTTGATTGAATTAATGTTTATGTGTGCAAAATGAACAATACAATTCATTAATAAGACGTAGCATATTAAAACACACAAGGAAACGAGACGGCATTGTTTTCGTTAATGTTTACAAAACCAGTGACTGATTGGTTCTACATATAAAACTGAAGAAAATAAGACCCTGGTTGTAGTTGTAGTAATATTAATGTAAAAAAATTAATAAGGTTGTTTTAAGTAACGTTATTTAATGTTAATAAATGGAACAATAATAGTAGCTAACCATTAATGGTAAAGAAAAAAAGTGAGATCGCGTATGGAAGTGCGCACATGTGAAAACATATCGTCATTACCCGACATCATAATATGAAAGCAACACTTACTTACTGTTTATATATATTTTAATTAATGTTTCTGAATTTAAAACAAAAATTTTACCCACCAGTGGTGGTAAAGTTGAAAACATAAGGACAGCCAATGTTGTTATGTGTGTTTTTACTCAGATGATGAAGTTGCCAAGTCATCAGGTTCAACTCTAGCTGAATCTGTAGAACATAAAAACTTTTCTGTGTTGTTTTTAGTTTTTATTTAACTCGTGTTATTTTCGTTGGTTTAATAGGATGTTGCTTTATTACAGGCAGTAATTCGCCCAAAAAGTAGGGTAAATAAGGCAAAATTTAGCCAAACATCGAAAGTACCAGACTCAAATTAATTGTCTCCATAGGAAGTTGTATTTAAATTTGGACTATTTGAATTTTGCGAGGTTTTTACAGTCTAAATAGATGTCCAAATATGAGAGCCTACTGTAGAGTTCTTGTAACATGTTAACATTAAATATCCCAGGAGATTAATGAAAAAAAAAGAGACTCCTGGAACAAAGTCATTACATAAAACAAAATGAGATATAATATTACAGTGTTACAAAGACACACTAAAGTTCCAAAAATAAATAAATAAATAAACTTACATAATATCCAAATGTAAATGTGTTTAAGCTATTGCAAAAATAATTATGAAAATCTTTTTCATAATCATTTGAGATACGTGATGACTGTAAATAACTAAGTACCCAAGAAATACAAATCATGTGAGGGACCACCAAAAGTTTTATCCCAACGTATTTCACCACTCTAATACTCACCTAACCCAATTAACATCTAGGTGGTTAACCTGCAGGTGGAATAAGCTGGGGGGAGGGGATCATCAGGTCCCGTGTAAGTAATCAACTTGTATAAATACACACCTGATGGAGACAAAGGATTTGGGACAGGCTGTGCTGCAGCCTGCAGTGAACGACACAAGTACAGGTCACGCTCCTTTACAAAGACTTCACTAATAGCAGGGAACTGACCCGTCATCTCTGCCAACATTTCTTCAATGAAATCACGTTGCTTGCACTTTTCTACTTCTTCTTTGCTGTCAATACAACATACATGTCAATAATTGTAATGCAGTGCTGTAACCTTTATTTTTTTGGTATGAAAAAAAAAAAGTTAATATCACACATGCTATCAAATATATTTATCACATTCAACTGATTTACAGCAAGCAAGCTAATTGGCTAAAATACTTTGTGTTGATATACCTAGGTAAAAAAGGAGATTATGAAAGTACAGTAGAACGTCGATTTAAAGCGATTCAATTTAAGATTATTGATTTAAAGCGACACCCACAATTAAGGAATCTTTCCTATTTTGCGAGAGTCAATCTGGAGCATCATATTTTAAAATTCGTGCTTAATGTTTCTCTGGGCATGCTACACTGTCCTAAGGGCAAAGTTTTACTGTACATGTACTCAAAATAATGTACTAAATGATTACTAAAAGTTTTGTCTAGTGCAAACTATAGCATGATTATATTCAAATTAATCACTATCTAATAAAAGTTCCAGTAATGTAAATTATTTTTTTCCCCGGTCACTTCTGTGACATTTTATAAACAAAAAACAAAAACTCAATCTAAGGGCATAATTAAGCAAATAAATACTTCACTGGACCTTCGGTGCCAACTGTCAAACATGTCACTGTCACCTACCCTTCCTTCCTTCCTTCCTTCCTTCCTTCCTTCCTTCCTCCCTCCCTCTCCCCCATCTTTCCAGTCAAGGTTTGGTGGATATAGGCTAACAGTTTTTATCTTATATAATATCACAGACTAAAGTTAGCAGAATATAATTTGCATTGCTAGAATCCTTGCAAGACAGCGAATAATTTGAATATAAACGTCATATATTTTGCACGAGATAAAATTTTTAGCCATTTGTAATAAGTTTCCAAATTAAAACTAACATTTGTATGTCTAATGCAAACTATAGCATGATTATATCCAAATTAATCACTATCTTATAAGAATTCCAGCAATGTAAATTATATTCCCCCCGGTCACTTCTGTGACATTTAATAAACAAAAAACAAAAACTCAATCTAAAGGACATAAATAAACAAATAAATACAGTAAAAGTCCAAAAATCCAGATGCCAGAAATCCGGACCACCCGAGAATCCGGACTTTTCGAAAACTCAAACTCTATTTTTTTTTTTTTTTAGCTGGCTTTTGTGTGTATGTGTGCATGCGTGAGCGCCACAGCTGCACAGCGACAACAAGCGACCACGCGGTCACCACTTTAAAACGAGCAATCAAACTGTGACAACGTATGTAATTTTGAGTCCTACTCTTTCCATTTACAGAGTACTGTACAAGCCCATAATAATGGCTCCTAAAGTAGATAAACTTCGTTGTGTGAAGAGAAAGAAGAACACTTTGAAATTGAGTGACAAACTTGAAATAATTAAGAAACTAGAACGTGGTGTGAGCAATACTGATCTAATGGAAACATACGACATTGGAAAGTCTACAATTTATGATATAAAAAAAGGCAAAGAATAAAATTTTAGAATTCACAGCTTTATCTTTAAAACTGCTTGTTTTGATAAATGAAGCATGCTATATTTGCAAATGAATAAACTATCAAAATGTACCTGTTCATCTCTTCTTTATTTCTCCTGAAATTTGAATTTTAAAAGTACTGCCTCAGAATCCGGAAAATCCGAAAATCCGGACCGACCCAATCCCCAAGCAGTCCGGATTTTTGGACTTCTACTGTACTTCACCAGACCTTCCACCCCAACTGCCAAACATGTCACTGTCACCCCCCCTCCATCTTCCCAGTCAGGGTTTGGTGGTTATAGGTTTACAGTTTTTATCTTATATATATCACAGACTAAAATTAGCAGAATATAATTTGCATTACTAGAATCCTTGCAAGACAGCGAATAATTTGAATATAAACGTCATATATTTTGCAAAAGAGATAAAAATTTTAGCCCTTTGTAATAAAATTAATTAGAACACGTTAGTTAGGTAACATTTTTTAAGAGAAAAACTTGATGTCACTCTTAAGGACAGATAAATAAATAAGCACTAGACCTTGGCATCAACTGTCAAACATATCACTCCCCCCATCAGTATGCAGACCATTTCACGTCCCATAATTTTAGCTGTGTTGATTTATGAGTGTTTGTTTTAACATAATACTAAAAAAACAAACTGTTTTGTTTATTCTAGGAGATGGGCTGAGGTGCATCTGGGTAGACTCTCAGTCTTTTTAGTATTTTGTGTTTTTCTCAAGTACCAAACTAAATTATTCCATTGAAACAGCACTTCGATTTAGTGTGAATTCGGTTTAAAGCGACCTCTCTTGGAACGTATCTCCTGTTATATCGATGTTCTACTGTAATAAACTTTTTTATATAAAATTACCATAAAAAAGGTGATATGAATTTTTGGTCACTCATTTTAATATAAAATTTGATAAGATAATAAGGTAATCCACTACAGTCATTGCTAGACCATAAATTTTGATGAAGAATGAAGGGTGAATCATGGGTATGCAGATATAAAATGTATAACAAAAGATGCACCAAAGTGCCCCCCCCCCCATGTGATGTTTATAACATCAGCTGGACTCCTATTTGCCTGTCAGTCTCTAATATACAGTCACTCCAAAAAGTATGTTTATGTAAGGGTCCAATGAAAAAATCTTTTGCCCATTATGTCATAGTGCCACACAAAATCATAAAAATATGTTTTGGAGTGAGTGTACCTTTTTGTATATCTGCAATTTAGTGTAATCACTTACTGAAACCAAACAGGGACCTTACAAAGAAAGTTCCTGAACAGCCATATCTGATCACATTATCACCATTTTATGGCCACTTACCACACTTGCATGGGTTACCATGATTACCTGATGGTACATTGTTCCTGTTACCATCATTCAACAAAATATAATGACATGCATAGAGGATGATTGCTTCCACTTTTGGACCAACTCTGAATGCTGTCTCAGAGAAAGAGAAAGAGAGAGTAGGAGACAGACAAGAGGGACAAAAAATTGCTAGCACAAGACTAGGTCAGCATCTAAAATGTCCTAGACTAAATATTACTAACCTAATTGGTTCCTTTGAGGTGAGAATATGCCAGGTGAGCTTCACCTTATGCCAGAGGGAGAGTGATGCCAGAGCACGAGACAGTGTTACCTGTATGGGCCGGTCACCAAGTTGGATCAAGCACCCGGGTGCTGACCGCCGTGCCTAAAGGATACATGCCCTTTTAAGAAACAAATTAAATACACTACTAAAAAATACATTTCACATAGCAGCAGAGGAAATCATATTATGCCAAAGTTCTTTATAAATCAAGAAAGGATTTTTGAGAAGCTATACATAAAATCTCACCTCTGCAAATGCAGTACGGAATTCTCCTCCAGGGGCCATTCCTAACTGCTTGGTTATATGGGCAGACACAGACAGTAACAGGAGATACAGCACACCCTGAATTTTACCGTGCTGACGCAGGATCATCTGCATCTTTTCTGAAAGAAACCAAAGATTTTAATTGCCCACACGTAACTGGAGGTTGGTAAATATAATTGATGCTTTTAAATGGAGGATCAGTTGGGCTATGAACCAGGTTTGTGACAACAATATGCAGTACAGGTAGTCCCCAACTTACGACTGACTCAACTTACGTCAATCCGCACTTACGACCTGCTCTGACCATACGACCGCCGCAGTCGTGACCAAAATTTTTTTCAAATGACGCACGCATTTTCTATACCAAAACGTTTCCATCCTGAGCGAGAGCGTGGCTGGCTTGGGTCACCGCGTGGGTACACTCACTCAGTACAGCACTTAGTTGGTGTTTGGCTATCGTATCCTATAATGATCGCGCTGTGAACTTACGTTATTATCGTATTTAATTGACTTTTTAATGACTGGAAAGCGTACAAGTGAGAGTGCTGGTGGTGCTCCGAAGAAAAGGAGACAGGCAATTATTTTTGAGATGAAAATGAAGATGATAATGCAATATGAGAATGGAAAAACTGTAGCAACAATCTCACGTGATCTAGGTTTCTTGCACTCAACCATATCCACTATTCTGAAGGACAAGGAACGTATTCGTGGTGTAGTGAAAGGAACAACACCTATAAAGGGAACTATAATTTCGAAGAAAAGACAAGGTCCTATTCATGATATGGAAAAATTATTGGTGATATGGATAGAAGACCAAACACAGAAGTGTGTACCCTTAAGCCTTCTAACCTTACAGGCTAAAGCAAGAAGCCTGTTCCAAAGCCTGAAGAAGCAGGCAGGAGATGAATGTGAGCAAACCCTTACAGCAAGTCATGGGTGGTTTAATAGATTTAAAAAACGCTACAGTTTACACAATGTTAAGGTGAGTGGAGAGGCACCTAGTGCTGATGTTGGTGCTGCCTAAGTTTTTAAGGAGGAGTTAGATGATGTGATTGTGGAAGGAAATTATTTGCCTGAGCAAATATTCAATGTGGATGAGACTGGATTATTGTGGAAGCGCATGCCTGAGCGGACATACATCCACAAATAGGCGAAATCAATGCCAGGATTCAAGGCATTCAAGGACAGAATTACACTTCTGTTGGGGGTGAATGTTGCGGGTTTCAAGCTGAAGCCCTTCATGATCTATCATTCAGAGAACCCCAGGGCTTTTAAACATGTCAGCAAGCACACACTGCCAGTGTTTTATCGCAGTAACAAGAAAGCCTGGATGACCATTGTACTGTTTGAGGATTGGTTCATGAATTGTTTCATTCCTCGAGCCAAGGAATATTGTCTGCAACAACGGATTCCATTCAAGATTTTGCTGATTTTGGATAATGCTCCGGGACACCCACCACACCTGGACGACATGCACCCTGATGTTAAGGTAGTGTACATTCCACCTAACACTACCTCTGTCATCCAACCCATGGATCAAGGTGCTATTGCTGCCTTTAAAGCGTATTATTTACGTACGACCTTCGCTCAGGCTGTTGCTGCTACTGAAGGTGAGAAAACGCTCAGAGAGTTTTGGAAGGAGTACAACGTTTTGTCATGTATAAAGAACATTAGTGCAGCATGGGATCAGGTTACAAAACATTGCATGAATGGAATATGGAAGAAAATCCTGAAAAGATATGTGAACAGTTTCAAAGGATTTAATGAAAATGAAAGTTATTTCGGATATTAGTAACAAGATAGTGGAGTTAGGTAAACAGCTGGAGTTAGAAATTGATAATGAAGATGTTGAACAGTTGGTTGAAAGTGTAGCAGAAGAGCTCAGTAACGAGGATCTTATTGAACTAGATGCACAGAAAATTGCAGAGGAAGAAAAGAGACAAAATGTAGAAGAAGAACCTGCACCCCCAAAAAGTTTTCAGTGAAACAAATGGCAGAGGCATTTGCTACAATTAATAAAGGAATGCAAATGTTTGATGGCATGGATCAAAATTATGAGCGTTATGCCAAAGTTGACAGAATGATCCAAGATGCACTTGCTTGCTACAGAGAAATTTATAATGAAAAGAAAAACAAACTGTGCAGTCTAAATTGGACATCTATTTTAAGAAGTCCCCAGTGCCTCCTCACGCCCCACCAGTGCTGCCTCTTCACTCCCTTAAGATGATCCAATACCTTCAACCAGCAAGTTTCCACAGTACATAAACCTGTCTGAAGAAAGCGACATTGATGACCCACCCAGCCCTGTCTCCTCCTCTGCTTCTTCCAGTTAATGTAGTCTCCATGTATTAGAAAATTATGGGGGCCCTGTGTGCATTCAGCTGACTACATTAAAGGTAAGTGCTCAGTCACACTGTATCCATTCCTCATTATTTATTACTTTTATTGTACTGTATTTCATTGTAGATTTTTTTTTTTTTTTTTTTTTTTTTTTTTTTTTTTTTTTTTTTTTTTTTTTTTTATCTATGTCAGACTTACGACCATTCTAACTTACGACCTGGATTTGGGTCCCTAACCCTGTCGTAAGTCGGGGAGAACCTGTATATGTTATTTACCAATTCCTGTACCCAGGCAAAAATAAATAAAAAACATTGGTTCCTCACTTTACATGAGGAGAAATTCCTGGAAAATGGCAAGTATGTCACAATTGTGGGTGTGGGTTACATTCCAGAACCCTTCACACCACCTAGTTTATCATAAAATCTTATACAAAATTACAAAAATAAGAAAATAAACCATGAAATGACGACATCAAACAGATTCTCCTCATTTTCGGAGTCATAGCAGTTTTACCTTTCTCTGTATTCCTCTTAACTAAGCACTTACATGACCTGTTGATGTTAAACATTTAACCAAGCATCAAGGCTAATTTATCACTCTGAAGCCACTGAATTATCTCACACTAGCAGAGGCAGTTACAACAAGAAAGACAAACAAATATATTCAGCACATGCATCAAGCTAAAACTAGGTCTATGGTATTTTGTTTGACTCTTTCAAGCCCTTCCCTGTTGTTCAATGCAAGATGACCAGAAACAGCTCCCTTCATTCCATGTGAAACATTTATCATTCAACAACACGTCCCCAAATCTACTTTACTCTTTTAGCTTTGCATAATCCAGCATCACCCATCAGCCACACACAGCCTTCTCTAAAAATCTAATAACACCTCTCTCTTGACCCACTTATGTACACAGCTGCTTAGTGGATGTCCCTCCATCTCATTTAAAGGACATCCTCTACCCCAGCCATCCACGTCCTCTTTGGTCTCCTTCTATCCCTTGACTTGTACAGAAAAAAAAAAGGCAAAAACACTAATTTGCAAAAGTAACTTACTGAAATCAAGGCTTCTAGATTCTTGAAGAATGGTTTCTTCATCTAACTGTAAAATAGCTGTGCGTGCCTTGCAGAGCTCCACTACAACTATGTCCGGCTTTACAGTTCTGATAGTCTGAAGAAAATAGAAATACGTACAATTGAATTTAAATTGATTCAAAACACATTTTTTCATTTTACAACTATACAGAAAGTCAAACTATTGCTTCATTATATACAACTGCAACAATTGAAAAACTAAAAATGTATTCCTTACATTTGCAACATCATCCTGACTTTCTTTTGAAAAGTGTGCAGTTCCAACAAGGAAGACAGAGCTTCCATGTGGAGTATCAAGACGAGTAACAGTGTCTGGCAGCTGTATGGAGCTGGGAATCCTACTGATAAGGGCTAATGAAGGTTTAGTGAGAGGATGTGCAGCCTCCTCCTCTTTACTGTCCTCTTCATCATTATCCTCCACATCACTCTCACTACCAGATGGACTTGCTGAAAGGAGTTGATGGAAACTATATTATGAAACAGAAGCAAAAAAATAAAATAAATAAATAAAAAGGTCTGATACAAATGGAAGCACAGATGTTAAAACAGATGAAAAACAGAACAGATGAATGAAAATAAAGAATTCAATGGACTGCAGATGGACAGACACCATCATATATACAGTCATGCGCCGGTTAACGTCCAACCGAACAACGTCTGATCGCATATACGTTCGTGGCCCCCCCCCCCAAAAAAAATACTTCCGTGACGCCTGCTGGACCACCACTCCACGACCCCCTGACGGAGACATGATGATCCTCCCATACTGGCCAGATATTATGTGTTAAAGGAATATGCTTCCTGCTTTAGGCTTTTTTTAAGCATTTGCCTCTCGGTGTAATGTTAACCAACATCTATTGAGGATAAATTCTTTCACCTACAAATTGACAATAACACATTTGCTGTAATCAGACATATCTAATTGCCTCAACATGGGGTTGCAATTTCAAATTCTGTGTCATTACTAAGGAATAACGAAGTCTCTGGTGCACTCTAAGATTAAGAGAGAAAACGGAGGACTCAGGCGTCCTGAGCGAGAGAAAACGGACTCCTGTGATGGGGGACACAAGCACTCACATGTGCCACTCATACTGACACTTGACACTCACTTACTTGACAAGTTTTATCAACCATTAGTTGTGTACGTTATCTAGTGAATTTAGTCAACAGCACTGTACAGTACAAGTACACTGCAGTACAGTGGTCCCTCGGTTAACAAAGGACCTAAGTGCAAACCTGTACTGTACATGTACTAAAATTGTTATGTCTATTGCAAATATAGATTGTTTATACAGGTATTCAAATAAATCACTATCTTACAAGAATCCCGGCAATGTAAGTTATATTCACCCAGGTCGTTTGGGTGGCAAATTATGAGAAGAGCTTAGTCACTCTTAAGGAATGATAAATAAACACGCAGGTCTTCAGCGCCAACTGTCAAGTCATATCTCAAATAAATAAACAAACACCAGACACTGTCACTTCACCTCCCCTGCTCCCCCCTCTTCCCACGCTCGCTGGCTACCTCCCTCCTTGTGTTCCCAAACAAAAGATTGGTGATAACTTTATGGTGTTTATTTTATATAATATCTCAGACTAAAGTTATGATAATATAATTTGCATTAATGAAATCCTTGCAAGACAGATTAATTTGAATATAAAAGTCATATATTTTGCTCGAGACAAAAATTGTAGTACATAGTATACAATACTGTAGTACATTTTATAATATAAAGTTTTTCAACTGTATTTTTGGGTAGATTTACATAAATTTCTTCATTTATTTTCATCCATTTACATGCCCACACCATACTAAAAGAAATGTAAAAGAAATACTGTAAATGACTTTAGTGCAAAACTGGAGTGCACATGTACTAATTTGATTACGGTACTAAAAATGTTATGTCTAGTGCACATTATAGGTTGTTTATATTTAAATAAATCAACATCTTACAAGAATCCCAGCAATGTAAATTATATTCACCCAGGTCATTTCACTGGCTTTTTATAGGAGAGAAGCTTAGTCACTTAAGAACTGATAAATATACACGCGTTAGACCTGGGCCTGTGCCAACTGTCAAACAGCTCCCCTCCCCCCACGCCCCCTCGCTCGCTCGCTCCCTCCCTCCCTTTCTCCCATCTGCCCGGCGTTGCTGGAACCCTTGAAAAGAGTGAATAATTTTAATATAAACGTCATGTATTTTGCACAAAAGGTAAAAAATAATCACCTGTATCACATTACAGTAGTGATTTAAAAGTAAAAGTGTATATGTACGTATATAGTATTCCACATAAACGTAAGTATAAATACAAAGTTTATGTGATGATCAGACAACGTCCATTTCGGTTAACGTCACGTTTCCAAGAACGTATCTAGGATGTTAACCGGCGCATGACTGTATAACAGCTTTCTTTCCCCAAAAAATTTAAGCTGGAGAAGACACAAAATAGAACAAGCTTAAGGTTGAAAGGGTTAACAAAATAACTTGGCACTAAACTGGTAAACCACAAATAAACCTGATTTGATTATATCTCTGCAAATATATTTTACCAATAGTTTAAAGTTATTATTCATACAAGTGGTAATGTTTCTACTGACTTTCTTTGGGAGGAGACAGTGTTATCCGGCTCTGCACACGGACAGTTACACCAGGACTGGATCCCAGAGTCGCGTGTGAGTCTTGACTGAGGCATGACTCTTCTTGTTCCATCTGTTTTGGACTTGAAGATGTACTTTCTTCTAGTTCAGCTGTAAATTATAATGTATGAATTAACATATTAAACATTTAGTACACCAAGTTAAAGACCTTCAACAAAAGCATTACCAGGAATCATGTATTCAATACAGTGAAAATTGTGAATGGTTCTAATATAAAACGTATCAGTCACATTCAAAAAGGTTTAAACAAAAATTCATAAACTTATTCATCCTTCTTTAAACATGAAAGCAAAAACAAAATTAAAATACATTCAGTATTTAAAAAACACACAGGCAACTCACGTTTTCTTGTTAATGGAAACTGCATGGACGCTGACACCACCATTTCACTGTCACTAATATCCACCTCCTCTCCCTCAGTATCCTCTTCATCTTCTTCATAGCCTTCTTCTGACTTAAAACTGAGGTCAGCCTCCACGGAATTCTGTTGAAAGTTGCCTCTGACAACACTGTACTGTACATCCTAACTAATACACACTCATCATCTCAGTATCATATCATCCCAGATGTCAAGAAACTTTATTATATTCAGTTAAATTTACTTGATATATACAGTAGGTGTATTCTTGGTCACCCCAAAACGCATAACTAGTTTTGCTATCTACTGCGCATCCCCAAGTTTTGCCTTGGAGGCAAAACTTGTCCCGAGATGATATGCCCTTAAAGGCAAAAGTAGTTATGGTCTTAACTTATTTGGAAAGTGGGCAGAGATGAAGGGAAACTATCCAATCACATTCATCGATCCATACACTCTAGACAAGATAAGGCCTATGTGTGGAAAATGCTTTCAATAAAATCACTAATTACACACTGGATAGTAGATGTATATCACTTGAAAAATATATTGTTTAAAATTGCTTAGTTTGAGAAGTTTTAAATGAAATGACAATCAATACCTACATGCATTGAGCTGGGAATGGAGAAATTTCCAGCAACACCTGAAAACTCTATTGGCTTCGCCACGAGTGTCTGAATGGTCTCTCTCTTGTTTCCGACTTGAAGCTTATAATTATCATTTCTTTGGTATAATGTCATAAAAGACATTGTTATTCATAACAGATGTTATCATTTTTGAGAAAAAGTACACAATATTGAGTACTGTATATTGCCATGTAGCTATGATAATCTTTTTAACATGGACACATTTGAAAACAAATTCACGAAACCAGACATAGCCGAAACGTGGACGCTATGGCTCCAGACATATCTCACAAGACACATACAATTACTTTTTCCCGAGAAAGGGTCCGGCAGCCAGAGTTGCGCTGCGTACCATAATTATGGTATTTGTACCAAAATTTGGTGTCTGTACCATGTACCATAATTTTGATCAGATAGGGACTCGATTGTATTTCCACACCCGTAAGGTGAGGTGTGACAAGGGCAGGGACCCAGGGAGGCAGCAAATTGTAGTGATGAATGTGCCAGTACCATTCTCTCTCACTCTCTGTTTGAGTTTAACTTATGTTATCCTTATTTATATATGGACACAGATTGGATGACGAGTGGACGCAGTAGCAGCGGCAAATAAAGAATTTTTAAGTATTCCCTTTATTTCAGCCTCAAATATTCCTGTTTGTAATTTTTTTATTAGACTTATGTTAATATAAACTTGTTTGTAATAATGCAGGGGTGTTTACTGCACCATAACATGTATGCTTATATGCAGGTACCATTATAATTTCGAGGAAAATACTGTACTATAATTTTGACATCAGTGTACGATAATTTGGGCTGGCCGGCAGCGCAACCTTACCGACAGCGCTGTTGGCGTGTTGTTGATGGTCAACAGTAGGCAGAGCCTAGGAGCATAACTAGTTATGCGTTTTGGGGCGACCAAAAATACGCCTTATGTAAGTGTTATTTAAGAAGTAGTGAAACTGATGACACGAAGACAAAAGTTGAGGAAACACATTTATTTAACATACAAAGAACTCTCCTTCCTCTTTGATAATTGGTCCCACTGTTTGACCCATCCTTTAAACACTTTAGGAAACATATCTTTGCATTATGTATTGAGAACTATCATCAACAGCTTACTAATTTCTGTACCAAACTTAAAACTGAAGCAATGAAGCAGCATCTTATCTTTGGATCACAGGGAGCCAAGGTCAATGTGTGTCCAGGGGATGGGCCATCACTTCAAATTTTAATCAAGTAACAGTTTTCTTGGCAAATGCAACTATTAAGATCAAACACAATGCTTTTGTGTAGGATCTATGCATGGTCAGTGATTTCTTTGAGTGTTCACTGCAGTTAGTATTGCAGCACATTGCAATAGAAATTTTCACTAGCAGTCAGTCCTTTGGGTACTCAATGGCTTCTTTTTTTTTTATCAAGTCCCCCATTACCAGAAGAAACTTTTTGTATCACCCAAAAACTCTTGCTCAACATGTATAGTACGGTAAAATAGGTCATCTGAAAACCTACTCTGAAATAATCTATTTAATCAGATTTAAATATTCTGGGTATAAAATTTAAGAATCCAGAATCATTTCCTTTTATATAATTTTCTAAACATTACATTTCAGTAAATGAGGAGAAACTAGACAGTTAAGCAACTGGTTGAGTGACTGGGTGCATGGCAGTATGAGTGATAAGTCTACTTGTCTTCATGAGAGTTTGAGGTGTAAGGAGAATGATGACACATTGAAAGGTACCGTATATACTCGTCTATAACCCTCCCTCGTTTATAGGTTGACCCTGATTTTTTTACCAAGAATCGTTAATTTATGATATTCATCGTTTATAGGTCGACCCAAGTTTTTGAGGGTAATGGAACAACAAAACCTTCAGTAAAAACACTCTACGTCCTATAAGCCGAGGCTTGCCGTGCCTGAAACACCGAGTGCCGAAGGCAAATTGTTTACCATTTATTATTACGACACTTTACACTGAAACGCGGGTAGTTTCAACAAAAATATTGTATATTTCCATTCAAGTATTTATTCAAGTCAATTAGGAGGAACTATTATTGTAATACAACAGTTTTTTAACTGAAAACCATTCGAAAAGCGATTACAGTAACATCTTTTGAACGAAAGAAAGCGAAAGTCATTGTTTTCGTCATGATTTTGTCCCACCTTCCACTGTAATACGTACGTCATTTCAGCAAAAATATAACATTTCCGTGAATGAATTACATCAAGCACAGTATGAATAGAATATCATTGTAATATAACAGTATTTTAGCCGAAAACTTTTAAAAAAACGAGTAACATCTCTTGAACATAAGGAGATTAGGTAAATTCTTTGTTTCGTCATGTATTTTATCCTATTTTACATTTAAATATATCACGTTTCAGCAAAACTACTATTTATTTCCAAGAATATATTCATTCAGGCGCAGTTAAGGTAAAATATACGTGTGATGTAACAGTTTCTTAACTGAAAACGATTCGAAAAACATGTGTACCGTCTAGCTGATACGCAACAGCTGGTGGTGCGTCATGCATCGTTGTAAACAATAGGAGGTTGAAGTGGATTACCGGGTATTATATAAAGTGTGAAATATCAAAAAGGTTTTTATTACCGGTATTTTTTGTAGATCAATGAGTACTGTGATACCGTATATGATATGATAAGTTAGCCTGTGCTAAGAACTTCAACATAGACTACTGAAAGCACGTTGTAAGGTAATTTAGCCTATTGTAAGTTGGTGAGCTTCATCTGCTGAAGGAACTGCATAACTTTTCATTACTAACTGGTACATATTTTACGTTTCCATTGTTTACTGGCAGTAAATTTGTAAATATTTTTTATGTCTGAAGCTAAAAGTTGCTCCTTGCCCTTCCCATCATGCACGGGTTTAACCTAACAAAACTATTACCTACGTAGAGATCGGCCCCCAATTTTTTGCCTAAAAATTTGGTCTTAAAAACTCGAACTACACACGAGTATATACGGTAATTTGTAGACTTCTATAACAATGAGAAAGTTTGAGAATAAAGAAGTAAGTTAAAGTACAGGTATTTACAAAAACTAATAATGTAACCAAATTGACACACATACTTTGGTAAAATACATGCTTTCCTCAGACAAATGTTCATGATAACATCCACTTTACATAAACATTCATTTTACAAAAGCCTCTTAGTCCCAAATTTTCAGCTGGGAAGTTTCTCATGTGATATTGAAAGCTTGACAACTAAATTTGATAGTCACTTTTTGTTCAATTTGCAAGTTCAAAATGGGTACACAATCCCATCACCTTCCACAAATGCTCAACCAAAACTAAATGATCCAATGAAATAATCATACAAATCACAGATGTTGGCTTAAATATGTTTTATCTTTAAACCTCAATCTTCACACAAAAAATAGCTATCCTACTATGGTTGTAATATCATTACTTACCAGTGCTTAAATAAAAAAAAAATAAGAACAACTACTACCTGTGTCACCAGCTGCTTAACTGGCTCTGCAGGGACTTTCTTCTCAAGGTCTTCTTTTACTGTTTCAGTGACAAGTTCACCTGAAGTCTTCACCCCCATCTGAAAGAAACAATGTAAACCAGTCTTCATAATGCAAACATCAGTGGTCTTATAAAAGCAATACACACTAGTATTAGCTACATACATAAGTTCAAACAATTCACTACGGAATACTAATGAACTTCAATGCAACTGCTTACAATAATCATTTAATCAAGATACTGAATAACTCATGACATGTTGACAAAAATTCTACATCCAACACCACATTTATTTGAAGTAAAACTCAATGTTTTACACATTCTCCCAGTACATTGCACGACCACACTCAATTAACCAAAGTTCACCTCGCAAAGTACAGTGGTCCCTCAGTTAACGAACGGTTCGATTAACAAATTACCAACCATAAGGATCCTCAATTCGGTTAAACAAAACTTCAATTAACGAAATCATTACGAACAACACGTTTTGTTGCGAGTATCAGCTGATGGGCTAGTCTGCCAATTCAGTAATCTCTTCTATGTTAATATTCGTTTCCAGTGGAGTAAATATCAAGAAAGTTGTGCTCTTTAATATTTTTGCATTTTTATATTAAAATTATTAGTCATTTTAAAATTTAGTTAACATATTGATAATATATGCAGTACAGGGAACTAATTTTTTGTGCGCCCATCAGCTGCTTGACTCAGCCACCAGGTGTCAGTCTGGTTTTGTTGACAGTGGAGTGAACATCTATTTTGTTGGTGTCTTGAATATTTTTGTGTTTGTACATTGAAATTATTGATCATTCTGAAATTTTTTTAATATATTGATAATATATAGTGCAGTGTTGATTTAAATAAAATAATCTTGAATTACACCTATTGAACTTAAAATTTTATTGGTGAAATGACGGCATCAAGCATGGGTCCCCTGAAAGGTGATTTCTCCTCCATCCCCACTTCCTTCTCCTTCACCCCCACTTCTAATTCCCATCATCATCATCAACCAGGAACCTTCTACATACACACCTCAAAGTAAGTGTACTTTACTGCATTTTTTTTTTACTTTGTATGTACTTTTCTGTGAGCTGGAACCAATTACCCAAATATCCCATTGAAACAATGGATTCGGTTAACAAACAACTCTGTGGAACGAATTGTGTTCGTTAACCGAGGGACCACTGTAATAGAATTTTGTGCCAAATCTAATGAGATATTTCGGTTGAATGTACTGTACAAAACTTGTACAGTACTAAGTTCAGCTATGGTTTCTAACAATGTTTAACATGAATAATGCACCCGCTCCTACCATGCCCAAATGTGCATTAATAACTTGAAGCTCACGGTACAATAATGTCAAGAAGCACACTAAGGTATCTGATCACAGTTCTGTTACAATTACATCACACTTCTATATGCTGGCAACTATTACATACAATGCATATAATACTGGAACATGTACTTTGATTGTCAACCTTGAAAGTTCAAGATTTACAATGCAAATGAAAAATTTCTACACAGCAATTACATTATTGTGCAAAAGTGGTGCAACTATATCAATAACTCTACCATGATGATTCAGTGTAATCTAATCCACTTAACAGGAAATTCCCAAGAATGCAAAAACTTTTAGAACCCAAATACAAAATACATTCAACATTGTCACTGCATGAAAATTGTAGCTTGATCCTGGAAATCCCAATTTTTAGCCAAATCACTGACATGGAGACTCTTGTACTGTATGCTGCTATAGTGCATTTTTTCTCAGCTGAGAAGAGATGCCCTGCCCCCTCCTCAAGAGTTACAGCTGATTTGCTGTTGCAAATCTGTTCGATTTCGTCCTAAAGTAATGATGTATTTCTAAATGAGTTTATTCATAATTGTTGGGATGACCATTTCTGACGAGAAAAATATTTAGCTAAATTATATACAGATACATACATTCATTATTTCAAACAGTAGCACGTAGGAAGTTTATCAGAAATCTTATACAGGTGCTCCCCGACTTACGACAGGGTTAGGGACCCAAATCCAGGTCATAAGTCCGACATAGATTAATAAAATAATAAAATAAAATAAAAAATAAAAAAATCTACAATGAAATACAGTACAGTAAAAGTAATAAATAATGAGGAATGGATAGTGTGACTGAGCACTTACCTTTAATGTAGTCAGCTGAATGCACATGGGGCCCCCATAATTTTCTAATTATACATGGAGACTACATTAACTGGAAGAAGCAGAGAAGGAGACAGGGCTGGGTGGGTCATCAATGTCGCTTTCTTCAGACAGGTTTATGTGCTGTGGAAACTTGCTGGTTGAAGGTATTGGATCATCTTCAGGGAGTGAAAAGGCAGCACTAGTGGGGCGTGAGGAGACAGCACCAGGGGACTTCTTAAAATAGATGTCCAATTTAGACTGCACAGTTTGCTTTTTCTTTTCATTATAAATTTCTCTGTAGCAAGCAAGTGCATCTTGGATCATTCTGTCAACTTTGGCATAACGCTCATAATTTTGATCCATGCCATCAAACATTTGCATTCCTTTATTAATTGTAGCAAATGCCTCTGCCATTTTCTTCACTGAAAACTTTTTGGGGGGTGCAGGTCCTTCTTCTACATTTAGACTGGCTTCTTCCTCTGCATCTTTGTGTGCTTCCAGTTCGACGAGATCTTCGTTACTGAGCTCTTCTGCTACACTCTCAACCAACTGTTCAACATCTTTACTCTCAATTTCTAACTGAAGCTGTTTACCTAACTCCACTATCTTGTTACTAATATCCGTAATAACTTATTTTCATTAAACCCTCTAAAACTGTTCACATATCTTTTCAGGATTTTCTTCCATATTCCATTCATGCAATGTTTTGTAACCTGATCCCATGCCGCACTAATGTTCTTTATACATGACAAAACGTTGTACTCCTTCCAAAACTCTTAAGCGTTTTCTCACCTTCAGTAGCAGCAACAGCCTGAGCGAAGGTAGTACGTAAATAATACTCTTTAAAGGCAGTAATAGCACCTTGATCCATGGGTTGGATGACAGAGGTAGTGTTAGGTGGAATGTACACTACCTTAACATCAGGGTGCATGTCGTCCAGGTGTGGTGGGTGTCCCGGAGCATTATCCAAAATCAGCAAAATCTTGAATGGAATCCGTTGTTGCAGACAATACTCCTTGGCTCGAGGAATGAAACAATTCATGAACCAATCCTCAAACAGTACAATGGTCATCCAGGCTTTCTTGTTACTGCGATAAAACACTGGCAGTGTGTGCTTGCTGACATGTTTAAAAGCCCTGGGGTTCTCTGAATGATAGATCATGAAGGGCTTTAGCTTGAAACCAGCAACATTCCCCCCAACAGAAGTGTAATTCTGTCCTTGAATGCCTTGAATCCTGGCATTGTTTTCGCCTCTTTGTGGATGTATGTCTGCTCAGGCATGCGCTTCCACAATAATCCAGTCTCATCCACATTGAATATTTGCTCAGGCAAATAATTCCCTTCCACAATCACATCATCTAACTTCTCCTTAAAAGATTCGGCAGCACCAACATCGGCACTAGCTGCCTCTCCACTCACCTTAACATTTGTGTAACCGTAGCGTTTTTAAATCTATTAAACCACCCATGACTTGCTGTAAGGGTTTGCTCACATTCATCTCCTGCCTGCTTCTTCAGGCTTTGGAACAGGCTTCTTGCTTTAGCCTGTAAGGTTAGAAGGCTTGGCGGGGTACACGCTTGTGTTTGGTCTTCTATCCATATCACTCAATAATTCTTCCATATCGTGAATAGACCTTGTCTTTTCAAATTATATTCCTTTATAGACATTGTTCTAATTTCACATCACGCATCAATGCTCTTGTCCTTCAGAATAGTGGATATGGTCGAAAGTGCTAGAATTTTAGGTCGCAGGAGAGTGTTACAGTTTTACCTTTCTCATACTGTATTATTATCTTCATTTTCATCTCAAAAGTAATTGCTCACCTCTTTCTTCGAGCACCACCTCAGCACTCTCACTTGTATGCTTTTCCAGTCATTATAAAGTTAATTAAACACGATAATAACGTAGTTCATAGCTACATCGGTATAGAGCGATAGCTCAAAACACCAACTAAGGCTGTACTGAGTGAGTGTACCACGGTGACATTGACCCAGCCAGCCACGCTCTCGCTCAGGGACGGAAACGTTTGGGTATAAGCGTCATTTGAAAAAATTGGTCACGACTGGGTGGTATGTCTGCGGACGATGCATACGGTCAGAGCAGGTCGTAAGTGCAGATTAACGTAAGTTGGGTCAGTCATAAGTTGGGGACTACCTGTACATGAATTCTTTAAACTCTGTAACATTCGTCATATATATTTATTTTTACCACAATAAGGCATACTAAGACATATTATCATAAAACTACATTGCAAAAACTAACATTTTAAAAGATCAGAATCACACTGAAATATTACACGGCCCCTGAAAATTGGTGGAGGAGTGTGACAGACTTGGCCGCTCGAGCTAACAGCCGTCAGTAGAGGTGGGAAATATAACTGTGAACAACTTCATATTTCAGTGATTCTGATCTTTTAAAATGTTAGTTTTTGCATAATGTAGCTTTACTGATACATAATTTGTCTTAGTATGCCTTATTGTGGGTAAAAATAAATATATATTAAATGCGTCCTCCGAAAGCGTGAATTTGTTACCAGAGTTTAACAGTTAATTCATGTATAAGATTTCTGATAAACTTCCTACGTGCTCCTGTTTGAAATAATGTATGTATCTATCCGTATATGATTTAGATAAATACTTTTCTCGTCAGAAACGGTCATCCCAACGATCATGAATAAACTTTAGAAATACATCATTACTTTAGGAAGAAATTGAACAGATTTGCAACAGCCAATCAGCTGTAACTCTTGAGGAAGGGGCAGGGCATCTTTTCTCAGCTGGGAAAAAATGCACTATAGTTGACAAGGTTACAGCCTGAGCAAACTCCCATCATCATTGACTGGTATCAATTATAGTACAGGGTAGCAACAATACTGTTCCATTACAAACATTGTCTTAAAAGAGAAAAATTTAAACATCAATTGTGTTATTGAAAGTTGAGTTTTAAAAAGTCTTGGTGACATTAACACCTATTGTCACCATTGAACTTCTTAAGTTTCCGGTAATTTGCCTCTCCCAGCCTAACCCACTGCCTTAAAATATCCACTAATGGCAATTATTACATCCGGTCACATGATCCTGCAAAGGGAAACCCAGTTGGTCCCCAAACCAACATCTGAAACAGGGCTCCTGAAACCCAGGTTTTATCATTAAAATAAAACCTTTCCACCCAATGGAGCCACATACCGTACCCATAAGATTATAAACTATATTTCAAGGATTAATAGCTACTCACACAATGATATCAGGTCCTCCCTTGACACGGCATGGGGAAAACCAGTGCCACCAAATGACTGTTGGGAGAACAGACGATTGGATTCTTAGCATGTTTAATACTCTTGCAAACTTGAAATAAAGGATGTACAGTAATACTCTTACAATGCTCATAATGTGTGATACTACCTTAGACCCTCTACTGGTAATAGGAGATGAATGCACCGACCTGACTGGTCAACAACCTCACCAATATGGGCGACAATTAGACAGACATTTATCACAGGAAATCAAAGAGGGGCAATGGTGACAATGGAAGCAAATTTATGCATGCTACTGTGGGGCAAAGACTCATTCAGACTTTCAGCCATATTGTCTACATTTCTGACTTCACTTTTTTTTTAAATAGGCAAATAATTATTCAGTAAATAACAGTCTTCTATGTCAGGACTCAGGAGCTTCCCCATGTTATAAACCATGGCACACTGGGGCACAATACATAAATCACCTAAAAATTATATTAGGATATAAATATGAATAATCATTTCTTAATAATGCATTGAATTTAAAACAAATTTTCATGTACCTACTGATACATCAAAATTGTTACTATGGTATACCCTTCTCCATGCACAAATCAAATTAAAGCTAAATTTACTCTACATTGAGAAAATCCTTAAAAACTTGACAAGGAGTCCCGTCTTGCTGGACTTATCGGAATCACTAGGAGTATCGCTTAATGCTACAGTACTGTACTTCAAAATTCCTAAGTGGAGATGTGATAACTTCACGTGACAAAGTGAAACCCTCTGATTTACCTCATGGCTCATGGACTGTTGTGCTCTGCTCTCCAAATTCGGAGACCCAGCATTGGTGGATAATACTGATGCATCTGTCTCAACATCTGTGGTGCCCTTCAGCTCCACCTTTGTTAAGTCATCTGTGGCAGAGACTGATGGTGAGATAGATATTCTTTCCTGGGTTTCACTCTTTAGGTTTCCAGTTGAACCAGACAAATTTTCCAGATTACCAGACAATGATGAGGGATACTGTGACTGAGTTGCAGATGGAGATAAACTTGTGTTGCAACCAGTTTCCATCTTATCTTCTTCAAGTTGCTGCTGCTTTATCTCAGTATCAACTGTTGGAGCCAATATATTGCTATGATCTTTCAAACCCTCTCCCAACCCCTTTGAATCTACTGCTTTGCCTGCAGTTTCATCAGCAGCTACCTTTTCTTCTACCAACAACTCCTGCTCTCCTAAGAGTTGTGGTGAGCTTGTAGCATGAGAAAGAAATGACTCGCTTTTTGTCTCTGATGCATGCTTGTTCCCTGAAGGATCATCATCTTCCACACCTTCATTTCCAGATACATCTTTTTCCTGGGCCACTACACCACCATCTTCATTTCCTTCATCTTCCTCCATGTCCTCTTTTTCAACAATAACAATAGAGGAGGACGAGGAAGATGGATGGCTACCACCTTCATCTGATGCAGACTGGATCCCTTCACTCTCACTGTTTTCTTCTAACTGCTGCATCATCACATTTAATTTGGATTAAAGTGAAAAAGGGAAAACATTTTACTTTGGGACAATAACAGTACATAACACATTTAAAGTAATGAATGTTAAGTTCAGAGTTGATTTTGTTTAAGCACTTGTAATTCCTTCCACTGATCCAAAATGAGGAATTTATTTTCAAAACAACTACAATATCCTTTCAAGTTACCACTAATGTACTACTCTAATAAAAGTCTTGCTATAAATTTAAATCCCCAGTGTTAAAAAAGTAGTTATTTAACAGGAAGAAAGCAATAAAAAAGTATTACAAATGCAATATGTCTACGGCTTCTGAAAATAAATCTAGTATTAGTCTAAGCAAGCTCAGTTGCCTATGGAAGCAATACTGTAAGCAGCACCGTTCTTCTCTGACAATATTCACACAGCAATGTCCCAAACTTACACCCCCACCTTCACACTGCTATCAGCCATATAAGATTACCACAAAGACCGAGTTTCCAGTTTATCTTTTAACCCTTTATAAGCAGCAAAGGATTCCCTACTTCACCCCCAAATGTGCAAAAATGAATCAATAGGAAGTCGAAACATCCACTAACGATGACTGAAATTCCCTCGGATAACTTCTACTGATGATGGCCGACATCCCTACAGACAACTTCTACTGATGGCCGCCATACCTACAGCTAACTTCCACTGATGATGGCCGCCATCCCTACAGCTAACTCCCACTGATGATGGCCGCCATCCCTGCAGCTAACTTCCACTGATGATGGCCACCATCCCTACAGCTAACTTCCACTGATGATGGCCACCATCCCTACAGCTAACTTCCACTGATGATGGCCGCCATCCCTACAGCTAACTTCCACTGATGATGGCCACCATCCCTACAGCTAACTTCCACTGATGATGGCCGCCATCCCTACAGCTAACTTCCACTGATGATGGCCACCATCCCTACAGCTAGCTTTCACTGATGATGGCTGCCATCCCTGCAGCTACCTTCCACTGACAATGGCTGCCATTCCTACAGCTAACTTCCACTAACGATGGCCGCCACCACTACAGCTAACTTCCACTGATGATGGCCACCATCCCTACAGCTAACTTCCACTGATGATGGCCACCATCCCTACAGCTAACTTCCACTGATAATGGCCACTGTCCCAACAGCTAACTTCCACTGATGATGGCCACGCTCCCACAGTTAACTTCCACTGATGATGGCTGCCATTCCTACAGCTAACTACTAACGATGGCCGCCACCACACAGCTAACTTCCTGATGATGGCCATCATCCCACACTAACTTTCACTGATGATGGCTGCCATCCTACAGACAACTTCTACGATGGCATCCCTACAGCAAACTTCCACTGATGATGGCCGCCATCCTACAGCTAACTCCCACTGATGATGGCTGCCATCCCCTACAGCTAACTCCCACTGATGATGGCTGCCATCCCTACAGCTAACTTCCACTGATGATGTGCCATCCCTACAGCTAACTTCCACTGATGATGGCTGCCATCCTGGCTACTTCCACTGATGATGGCTGCCATCCCTACAGCTAACTTCACGATGGCGGTCACCATCCCTACAGCTAACTTCCACTGATGATGGCTGCCATCCTACAGCTAACTTCCACTGATGATGGCTGCCATCCCTACAACTAACTTCCACTGATGATGGCTGCCATCCCTACATTCACTTCCACTGATGATGGCTGCCATCCCTACAGCTAACTTCCACTGATGGACGGTCACCATCCTACAGCTAACTTCCACTGATGATGGCCACCATCCCTACAGCTAACTTCCTGATGATGGCCACCATCCCTACACTAACTTCCACTGATGATGGCTGCCATCCCTACCTACTTCCACTGATGATGACTGCCATCCTACAGCCTTCCACTGATGATGGCCACCATCCCTACAGCCTTCCACTGATGATGGCTGCCATCCTAGCTAACTTCCACTGATGATGGCCACCATCCCTACAGCTAACTTCCACTGATGATGGCTGCCATCCTGCTTCGATGATGGCCACCATCCTACAGCTAACTTCCACTGATGATGGCTGCCATCCACACTAACTTCCACTGATGATGGCCCATCCCTACAGCTAACTTCTGATGATGGTCACCATCCTACAGCTAAATTCCACTGATGATGGTACCATCCTACAGCTAAATTCCCTCATGATGGTCACCATCCCTACAGCTAACTTCTGATGATGGTCACCATCCTACAGCTAAATTCCACTGATGATGGTCACCATCCTACAGCTAACTTCCACTGATGATGGTCACCATCCCTTCAGCTAACTTCCTGATGATGGTCACCATCCCTACAGCTACTTCCACGATGATGGTCACCATCCTACAGCTAACTTCCACTGATGATGGTCACCATCCTACTTCCACTGATGATGGTACCATCCTACAGCTAACTTCCACAGTGATGGTCACCATCCCTGTACTTCCACTGATGATGGTCACCATCCTACAATTCTTCACTGATGATGGTCACCATCCTACCACTAACTTCCACTGATGATGGTCACCATCCTACAGCTAACTTCCACTGATGATGGTCTATCCTACAGCTAACTTCCACTGATGATGGTCACCATCCCTACAGCTAACTTCCACTGATGATGGTCACCATCCCTACACTAACTTCCACTGATGATGGTCACCATCCTACAGCTAACTTCCACTGATGATGGTCACCATCCTACAGCTAACTTCCACTGATGATGGTCACCATCCCTACAGCTAAATTCCACTGATGATGGTCACCATCCCTACAGCTAACTTCCACTGATGATGGTCACCATCCCTACAGCTAACTTCCACTGATGATGGTCACCATCCCTACAGCTAACTTTCACTGATGATGGTCACCATCCCTACAGCTAACTTCTACTGATGATGGTCCATCCCTACAGCTAACTTCCACTGATGATGGTCACCATCCCTACAGCTAACTTCCACTGATGATGGTCACCATCCCTACAGCTAACTTCCACTGATGATGGTCACCATCCCTACAGCTAACTTCCACTGATGATGGTCACCATCCCTACAGCTAACTTCCACTGATGATGGTCACCATCCCTACAGCTAACTTCTACTGTTTCAGGATTAAAGGTTTTTTTGTATGTCTTCCCTCCATTTACTATTACTACACCATTATACACCAGCAAAAGTAACCCATTTTTTATGCTCATCTCACCAGTCACCTAAAATCTTTGCAAATTGTAGTGTTAACCTTCCAAACTCTATTCAACAATCTAAAAGAAAAAAGAGAGAAAGAAAAGGAGAAAATGAGTGTATGATACAAAGAGAGAAAATGTCTCAATTAAATGAAGGAGAGAGAAATAAAGATATCCACGATGACCAAACTGCTCAAAGTTCAGCAGCCAACCAAACAATCCAGGTTACCTCTCCTCATTCAAAATAATTTCCAATGCTACTTGAAAAAAATATCAACAAAATTCTATGGCAATTTAAAGTAAATTATCATGGAACACGTCTTCTTTGCATGTTATTTCTTATAACCAAAGCTTCACCTTTATAAATCGATGTCAAAAAGCTTCACCTTCCTTAAATCAATGTTGCAATCAATCATCTTCCCTAAATCAATGTTGCAAGGCTTCCTCCTCCCTAAATCAATATTGCAAAGTTTCACCTTTCCTAAATCAATGTTGCAATTAATGCTTGCCAAAAAAATAATCTTTGATTTACAAGTTTATTTCATATTTCCCTAGTTATACTTCAGTACTAAATCAATATAAAGAATTTTCTAACAGGGGACTTTACTGAGGTCTTTTTTTCCACTAAATTTTGCTTCACATAACTAATCAGGCAAGCATTCTGATGATCATGACAGCTTTCATATGTGATCCTTCAAGCAAAATACAGTACAGTGACCCCTCCGTTAACGAGCTCAATCCGTTCCAGAAGGTCGTTCGTTAACCGAAAAGTTCGTTAACCGAAACCATTGTTTCAATGGGTTTTTGGGTAATTGGTTCCAGCTCACCGAAAATTTCCTAAATTCAACAAAAATGGTAGAAAAGTTCACTTACTTTGAGGTGTGCATGTAGAAGGCTCCTGGATGATGATGATGATGATGGGATTTAGAATGGGGTGGAGGAGAAGGAAGAAGAGAAGGCATTGGGGTGGAAGAGAAGTCACCCCATGGCGCCATTTCACCCATAAAATTTTAGCTCTCTTGGTGTAATTCAAGATTATTTTCTTTAAATCAACACTGCACTGCATTATATATTGTCAATATGTAAAATATATTTCAAAATGACCAATAATTTGCTTGGAAACACAGAAAAAAGCATTTAGTTGAAAAGAGTCTCAAGCAAGATGTTACCTCCAGTGAAAACAGAGAGAGACTGACGCCTGTTTGCTGTGTTAAGAGGCTGGATGCCGCGCATTAAACTAGTCACTTTACCTTCAATTATGTTCAATAATTGTTAAAATGACTAAAAAATTGAATATTGAACTTTTAAAATTATTGAATAGTATAAACTTCTTGATATTTACTAAAATAGTAAGGAATTTAAGCGGACTGATACTAAAGCTGGTTGCCCGGTCAGTGCAAGCGAAAACATGTTGAGGTCGGTTCGTAAGAACTTCGTTAACCGAATTGTTTTTCGTTAACCGAATTGAAGATCCTTATGGAAGGCAGTTCGTTAATCGAAATTACGTTAACCGAGGTGTTCGTTAAACGAGGGGTCACTGTAATTTAAAACACTTCTTTGAAAAAAATAATGTCCAGTTATAAAAGATGCTAAACAATACCTTATATCAGGAGCGGTTAAGTATAAACTTAATTTTCTAAATACAGTATATATCCCACACCTTTACATACCTGTCGCTCCAGTTCTTGTGGCTTCTGCTCCGCCAGAGTAAGAATGGAAATACTTCGATCATTCTCTTCATTTTCTTTCTGTGGCTCTGGTTCAATGGTTTCAGTGTACTTCTCAATCCCCATTGATTCTTTTGTTTGTTTAAGTTCTATATCAGGCTTCTCAGGTACTCTATTCTGGAACTCTTCATCTGGTGTCACTGTTGGTGTGACACCAATAGCAGAGTCTGGAGACTGTAAAGCTGACTCATAGGATGAATCTCCAATTGCATCCATGACCTCACTGTAAGAAATTTAAACCAAAAAATCATTAGAATACTTCTAAAAAATATTGTAGTAAAAGAGGGTCCCTTAGGATTGATGGGCCATGATGGGCAGGGCAGATACAGCGCATTAATTACTAAACCTTCGGTACACAAAAGGCAGTGTGGTTAGCACTGTACTTGACTGACTTCACTTCCTAAGGTACCCATTCACAGATGGGTGAACTTGGGGTTGCCTTGGATATAGACAAAAGGCCCTTAGGAAAAGACATGAGCACTGTAGCCACACAGCTGCAGCATCATGCAATAACTATAATGTGGGGCTAGAGACAGACAGGCAACGAGGTGAACTATTACTGGATAAAGAGAATCACAGATCTGTAATAAAAATTAAGTAAGTGTTGTCTGAAGGCATCAGGTGTAAAAACAGTAAATATTGAAAAAAATATGGGGCTAAGGGGCAGGACCTGTAGAGAGAGGTACAGGAGGGGGGAAAAGATTGCCCCTCTAAAAGCTGAAGGATTCTGCCAAAGTATGGCTAAGAAAGCAAATATTTATCTTAACAAACATGAAAAGACACAAAAAGTAAAATTCATTTTCCATCTACGTACTGTGCTTGATGACCTCCAGACATGGCAGGTGACCTTTAACGTGAATGATTTTGTATGGCACCGATTACTAAAAAAGATGAGGATCTCTTGTGCAAAGTCTAAGTTTTATGAGGTTCAATTAGGACTGTAAATATATGAAATAAAAATAAATATAAATTTGACTTTTTTAAGTTATTTGGTAACGTTAAAACTTCATAAAGTGTAAGACAATATGATATCTAATATCTCTATAAAGCAAAAATTCATAATATTGAAGCAACAACGATTGTAATGCACTGTAAATCAAGGAAGAACATACCTGTTCACAGATTCACTTTCAACAGAATTTTGTGAGGTGTCAAGAGACTTTGATTTGTCACTGCTGGTCAATTCTAATGCATCCTCTCCCACAGTTATATTCAGAGTGTCTGTCACCACTTCCGCTTGACTTACATTTCGGGAATCACTCAGTGATGTCATCTAGCCAGCAAATTCTAATGAAGTGAAAACCGGGTAATCATTAAAGTTATGTTATCCTACCTCATTATGTCTGGTAAATTAGTAATACATAGCTACATGAAATAATAGCCAAGTACTGTACTATATATAAACCTATAAAAAAGAGAGAATGCACCTTAACCTGAGTTTAAAAAAAAAAACGTTTACACAAGAGGAGTTGGCGGTGAGTGGCTGTCCAGGGCATTTGCTATAAATTGCCGACTGGAAAAACATTGTGTAAGCAATGGTTGGGCATTCATTGATAACTGGCGACGATTCTATGGCAACGACTACCTGTACAGTCATGACGGGGTACACTTGTCTCGCTCAGGGGTAAAGACGTTGTCTGCATCCTTAGAGCGTGAAATTGTCACTCCAAAGGGGGAGTTTTGCCAGTAGAGAGGGGTCAGGGTAAGTGGGAGGAAAAAACAAGCAGGTCCTGGGGAGTAATATTGGTTACTCAGGACAAGGGGTAAAACAGAACCAGGGAAGGGTAGGTTTAAATGTATACCCGTACTATACAAACAGTAGGAGCGTTAGAAATAAAATAGACTTGCTGAGAGTGGTTGTATGTACAGTGGTCCCTTGGTTAACGAACTCAATCCGTTCCAGCAGGTTGTTCGTTAACCGAAACCATTGTTTCAATGGGTTTTTGGGTAATTGGTTCCAGCTCACCGAAAATTTCCTAAATGCAACAAAAATGGAAGAAAAGTTCACTTACTTTGAGGTGTGTATGTAGAAGGCTCCTGGATGATGATGATGATGATGATGGGAATTAGAATGGGGGTGGAGGAGAAGGAAGAAGAGAAGGCATTGGGGTGGAAGAGAAGTCACCCCATGGCACCATTTCACCCATAAAATTTTAGTTCTCTTGGTGTATTTCAAGATTATTAACGAACTGCCTTCCATAAGAATCTTCAATTCGGTTAACGAACAAAAATTCGGTTAACGAATTTCTTACGAACCGACCTCAACATGTTTTCGCTTGCACTGGCCGGTCAACCAGTTTTAGTATTATTCCACCAATACATTAATCGGTTCTAGGGCTTCAATTCCTTACTATTTTAGTAAATATCAAGAAGTTTATACTATTCAATAATTTTAAAAGTTTAATATTCAATTTTTTAGTCATTTTAACAATTATTGAACATAATTGAAGGTAAAGTGACTAGTTTAATGCGCGGCATCCAGCCTCTTAACACAGCAAACAGGCGTTACTCTCTCTCTGTTTTCACTGGAGGTAACATCTTGCTTGAGACTCTCTTCAACTAGACACTTTTTTCTGTGTTTCCAAGCAAATTATTGGTCATTTTGAAATATATTTTACATATTGACAATATATAATGCAGTGCAGTGTTGATTTAAAGAAAATAATCTTGAAATACACCAAGAGAACTAAAATTTTATGGGTGAAATGGTGCCATGGGATGACTTCTCTTCCACCTCAATGCCTTCTCTTCTTCCTTCTCCTCCACCCCCATTCTAATTCCCATCATCATCATCATCATCATCCAGGAGCCTTGTACATACACACCTCAAAGTAAGTGAACTTTTCTACCATTTTTGTTGAATTTAGGAAATTTTCGGTGCACTGGAACACCAATTACCCAAAAACCCATTGAAACAATGGTTTCGGTTAACGAATTTTTCGGTTAACGAGCAACCTGCTGGAACGGATTGTGTTCGTTAACCGAGGGACCACTGTATACTACTGTATACAGAAAAATTAGGTCAAATAAGAATGAGCCAAGGTGGATGATCAAAAAACTTAAACATGACATAGGAATAAAGAAAGGAATTTATAAGAAATTAAAGGGAGGGGAGGAGCATCTCAGAGATAGGTATAATGAACTATCTAGGAATGTTAAGAAAAATGTACGGAAGGCAAAGAGGGACTACGAAATCAGGATAGCAAGAGAATCCAAGGTGAATACCAAGGGATTTTTCCAGGTGTATAGGAAAAAGGTCAAGGACAAGGTGGGGCCTTTAAAGTCAGGGAGAGGGGAAGTGATTGATGATAGTGAGAAAATAAGCAAAGCATTAAACAGCTACAGTACTTCTTATCAGTTTTCACAGAAGAAATTCACGAGAAAATGCCAGAGGTGGAACTGATATTTAGGGGAAATGAAGAAGAGAAACTAAAGGATATCACTATCAGAAAAGAGGATGTTCTTAAGATGATAAATAAATTAAAGAAGACAAAATCCCCAGGGCCGGATAAAATCTACCCTCTGGTTTTGAAAGAGTGTAAGGAACAGATTAGCGGACCCCTCGTAAATTTATTTATAAAATCATTAGACATGGGAGTTGTGCCAGACGTGTGGAGACAGGCAAATGTATTACCCATAATCAAAAAGGGAGACAGAGCATCAGCGTCAAATTACCGACCGATCAGTTTGACGTCAGTAGTGGGGAAATTTGTCGAATCAATTATAGCAAATAGCATCCGATCACATTTAGAGAAAAGCAAATTAATCTACGACTCTCAACATGGGTTTACAAAGGGAAAATCTTGTCTAACAAATCTGCTGACGTTTTTTAGGAAAGTCTTCATGGTAGTAGATAATGATGAAAATTTCGATGTTATTTACTTAGACTTTAGCAAAGCATTTGTCAGAGTACCGCATCAGAGGCTTCTGAGAAAAGTTAAGGCTCACGGTATCTTAGAAAGTATTAAATTGGATAAAATCATGGCTCACCGATAAAACACAGGTCAGCATAGGTGGTTTTAAATCTGAGTGGGGCTGTGTAACTAGTGGGGTTCCCCAGGGGTCAGTACTGGGCCCACTCTTGTTCATAATCTACATAAACAATCTAGATACTGGGATCTGCAGTGACGTAAGCAAGTTTGAAGATGACACCAAAATAGAGCGGCAGATTAATTCAGGGCAGGATGCAAATGCACTACAGGAGGATTTAAATAAACTGCAGGAGTGGTCAGAAAAAATGGCAAATGAAATTCAACACCAGCTAGTGCAGCATACTTAATATTGGAGGAACAAATACTGTCAATGTATACAGCCTTAACAATATCAACCTTGAGAAGTCAGCTTGTGAAAGAGACTTAGGGGTACCCGTAAGCCCGGACCTACGGCCAAAAAAACAGTGCGTTAATGTTTGAAATAAGCCAACAGAGTACAGGATGTATTAGGTTTTATATCTAGAAGTGTAAGTAATAAGAGTGCGGAGGTCATATTACAATTATATATTGCGCTAGTCAGGCCACACCTCGATTATGCTGTTCAGTTCTGGTGCCCTTATTATAGGTTTCCGGGACTTAGAAACCTCTCTATCAAGATAGATCAAAGAAACTAAACTTGCATTCCCCAGAAAGACGAAGAGTGCGGGGAGATATGATAGAAGTATTTAAGTGGATGAAAGGAATCAATAAAGGAGATATAGATAAAGTTCTTATAATATCCGAGCAGGATAGAACTCATAGCAATGGATTTAAGTTGGATAAGTTTAGGTTTAGGAGGGGGATAGGAAGGAACTGGTTCACAAATAGGGTGGTAGATGAGTGGAACAAGCTTAGCAACTTTGTAGTAAGTGCTGGGACGCTGGAAAGTTTTAAAAGGAGGCTAGATAGATTCATGGATGATAGAGAGTGGTAGTAACTCTCGACAGGAGCTGCCATGCACAGGCCAACCAGCCTATTGCAGACTCCTTATTTTCTTATGTTCCTATGTTATCATGGCTGATTTATAACTATGGAGTAAGCAGGGTGAGCATAACATGTACAATGAAGTGGCAATGCCACATCCCTAGCATTAGAAGCATTCTAGTTCCAGTTAAAACTTGCGAGCGAATTGGAAGGTTTTATCTATAAGAAAAAAACTGTGAGTGAAAAATCATATGCTGTAATATTAAAACAATTTATCCATTACAATGGCACACCTCTCATATGACATAGCCGAATTTTGTTGGTTTAAAGCATATATTTCTTTGTCCCATCACTACATATGAACTACACTTCATATTTCCATTATGTCTGATACCTGGCATAAGGTCGTCCAGTAACGTATACTAGTATTATAACCACGTCACCAATACTGTACCATGTCATAATAACCCAAATGACTCTCACAAATCCAGACCACAGATGATAACAGACCTGCCCTATTGTAACCTGCCTGTCAACTACAACAGCACTCACTTAACAGCTGCCCTGGGTCAACTCATACATGTTCCATTGTGTACTAGATGACTCAGCTTCACAATGTCATATATAACTACTGTTCTTAGTCCATCATAGAGATCCTATCATTTAATTCCAAGAAATAAAGAGTCGACACTTTTAACACCATAACCTCACCATAACCTATCAATAAATTAATCTTGAAGAAACACTTGACTCTCAACTGAAATATTATAGTTCAGAATAAGTGAAGCATTGTTGGCCAAACCAAGAATACGATGGCAGTAAAGTGTATGGATAAGCTTAAATAAAAAAAAAACTATTATGCAAAGGGTAGCCATGACCTTCCCCAAACGTACTCACTGAACCTTATGTTAGACAGTGCAGTATTTCCTCTCCCAGGTCAAACACACAAGCTTTATAACACCACCTGACGATAAAATTATTAGAGAGAGAGAAGAGGTTCACTCTCTCAGTATAATGTCACCACAAATTACCATCGACAATTATGATAACTTGTTTGTTAACTAAGATAACTGAACAAACAGCTGTGCTTGTGTCATGTTCATTAGAGCTCTTTTATAGTTAATTCCTGACGAAATACTATGAAATGTAACTTTATATTGTGAATACATACACGACTGATTCCACAACACATGACTATTGACGTAAATTAATGATTGTTATCTGTGGTTAGCAGTTTGTTGTGAAGACACAAGGAAGGCGCCGGGTGCCCGTTGATAGTTGTGATATAACTTGCCAGACAGGTGCCAGTGCCATAAATTTATTCCACCCATCGAACATTGTAAAACCATTTCGACCAATGACAAACAGATGATAACTAACATCAGGTGTTTGTTAGACATGGAACTTGTTGAAAAACCACTACGTTGCATCACCTTAACATGGCAACAACACAAACTCATTGATAGTCTGCATATTTCTTTACGGTTAATGTTATTTACATATTATCAGCTTTAAATGATACAAAAATAAACGATGTAACACTCACGTCATACACAAAAAACTGAAGAAAATACGGAGAACGTGGGTTAAACCTTACCGACAGTCACTTGTTCGCTGGTTGACTGGAAAACAAACCATAATGGACGAGCCTCAACCCTCACAGCCCTCAGGAACTAATGTTAGAAACATGACACGAACTTGACTGTAAAATTGAGTCAGACATATTTATTCTGATTCTAAACAACCTAATTTTAACTCTGATTCACAATAATATACTTTATTTACTTATTTAATGATAGTTGTTGTCATCCCAGGTAACACCTTTCGTAAATGTCTTCATTGAGTAGTTCGTAGTACTTTCCTAACAGTAGCTATTTTGCAGCAAGACAGTTGCCAAATGTAAATTTATACATGGTTCAACACTACTATCATTGTAAATTTTCGAAATATCTAAAAATGTTGGATACAAACTTTCTTGCAGCTGAAAATGACTAACGACTTATTAGAATTTCGGTGTATGCTCCATGTTGATAAAATATACGGTTATTTTTATATTACATAAGAACATAAGAAAATAAGGAGTCTGCAATAGGGCGGTTGGCCTGTGCATGGCAGCTCCTGTCGAGAGTTACTACCACTCTTTATCATCCATGAATCTATCTAGCCTCCTTTTGAAACTTTCCAGAGTTCCCGCACTTACTACAAAGTTGCTAAGCTTGTTCCACTCGTCCACCACCCTATTTGTGAACCAGTTTCTTCCTATCTCCCTCCTAAACCTAAACTTATCCAACTTGAATCCGTTGCTCCGAGTCCTATCCTGCTCGGATATTATAAGAACTTTATCTATATCCCTTTATTGATTCCTTTCACCCACTTAAATACTTCTATCATATCTCCCCGCACTCTTCGTCTTTCTAGGGAATGCAAGTTAAGTTTCTTTAACCTATCCTGATATGGAAGGTTTCTAAGTCCCGGAATCATTTTTGTCATTCTTCGCTGCACCGACTCTAGTGAATTTATATCCATTCTATAATAGGGGCACCAGAACTGAACCGCATAATCGAGGTGTAGCCTGACTAGCGTGGGGTTCGGGTTGTTTGTTCGGATTCAGGATGTGATGGAGAAAGGAAACTCACAATGTGCTCTCTGTATACATGTTGTATTGGATGTACAATGCAGCTTGGTGCTGGGAAGTGGCAGCGTGGTTACAAGCGTGATGTAGAGAGAGCTGGCTGGTGAGGATGCTCAGAGGAGGACCAGCTTGTGGGTCGCCATGCTCGCCGGCGGGAGCGAGGACCGCCAGGCAGCGGCGGAGGAGGAGGAGGTGTTGCTTGCTGCGGCTGTAGCTAGAAGAAGAGAGAGCTGGTTGGTGAGGATGCTCAGAGGAGGACCAGCTTGTGGGTCGCCATGCTCTCCGGCGGGAGCGAGGACCGCCAGGCAGGTGGAGGAGGAGGAGGTGTTGCTGGCTGGTTGGTGTAGGCAGAAAAAAGACAGCTTATGAACATGAAATGCTAGTGACAGGGGGGAAGGAGGTTCAGGGGAAGAATAAAGGGAGGACTGAAGTGATTTTTAGGAAGAGAGAATAGGTGCAGTGGCTAAACACCGCTTGCGTGAGGGAGTATAAGTTGGAGGCAGCAGCAACTCGCCTGGACGCGGCGAGGAGGCGGCAAGACAGAGTCAGGCAAGCGTCAGGTCAAGCGTCAGGTGCGTGTTGGGTCGGGCCATGGATTCTCAGTGCTTGGTCGGCTTGATTGTGTGTGTTGTTTTCTTGTGTGGAGGAAATGTCTTGGTATTCTTCTTAGCTTGATGTAGATTTTCTTCTAACTCTCCTCCTCTTCTTGCTCTCTTGAAGTGTTCATTCATTCGTGTTTGGGTCTTGTTGCTCGTCTTCCTTGTGTCTTATGTCCTCATAGGTGTGGAAGAAGTCGGAGACGGTGAGGTTGGCCACGTGGGCTTCAGCTCCACGGGCCTCGTGGTGTTCTAGATTCTGTGTGACGGGTGTCTTTTCTTGAGTTTTCTTTTCTTGGGTTTTCATTTCTTGGTATTTCTTTTCTGCTGGTTTTTTCTTGTCTTGGGAGCGTACAGCAAGGAGGGCCTCTTTGTAGCTCAGTTTCTTGTCGAGTCGCACCTTGGCTATCCTGCATTCCTCCTTCCATTTCGGGCAGGTCCGATCGGCGGAGGAATGTGGGCCGCCACAGGCAGCGCATTTTTTTACTGTGTTGGGGCAGACCGTGTAGTGGTGTCCGGGGTTGCCGCACAGGGAGCAGGTGTCCTCCTGCGCCTCACACTTGTTGACCGTGTGTCCGTAGTGCTGGCATTTGTAACAGCGTTTCGGTCTGCAGTAGGGCTTGATTGGCACAGTTACCCACGCCAGTTGAGCCTCCGTGGGTAAGGTTGTATGGTGTCCGATGAGGGCAGTGGTGTCGGACAGCTTCTTCACAACTTGGAGTTGCCCCTTGAGGAGCTCACTCAGCTCTGCTTGGTCCACGTGGGCAATTTTGGCATGGGAGATTACTCCCAGCTTCAGGTTGTCCCACTTGTAGGCAATCATTTTAAATGGAATGCCGTTGATGTCTGGGATCTCCGCGAGCTGTACGGGCATACCCTTCTTGGTGAAGGTGATCTTGATGTCACCATGGAGCTTCAGTCGTTCCACCTTGGTGACCCCCACGATCTCATTAGTTTCAAAGAACTTCTTGAGAACTAGGCGGTTTAATTTCTTGGGGCAGGTCGGCGTTACAAGACTAGCAAGGTCATCCTAAAACTGTATCTTGCGCTTGTGAGACCACACCTGGATTACGCAGTTCAGTTCTGGTCACCGTATTACAGAATGGATATAGAATCATTGGAAAGAATTCAGAGGAGAATGACAAGACTAATCCCGGGCATTAGGAACCTTGAGTATAGAGACAGGTTAAGGCATCTTAATCTGCACTCCCTCGAGAGACGTAGAGCGAGGGGTGACCTGGAAGAACAAATACTTATAATGTATACAGCCTTAACAACAACAATCTAGAGAAGTCGACTTGTGAAAGAGACCTAGGGGTACTTGTAAGCCCGGACCTACGGCCTAGAAAACAGTGCGTTAATGTTCGAAATAAGGCAAACAGAGTATTGGGTGTTATATCTAGAAGTGTAAGTAACAAGAGTGCAGAGGTCTTATTGCAACTATATCTTGTGCTAGTCAGGCTACACCTCGATTATGCGGTTCAGTTCTGGTGCCCCTATTATAGAATGGATATAAATTCACTAGAGTCGGTGCAGCGAAGAATGACAAAAATGATTCCGGGACTTAGAAACCTTCCATATCAGGATAGGTTAAAGAAACTTAACTTGCATTCCCTAGAAAGACGAAGAGTGCGGGGAGATATGATAGAAGTATTTAAGTGGGTGAAAGGAATCAATAAAGGGGATACAGATAAAGTTCTTATAATATCCGAGCAGGATAGGACTCGGAGCAACGGATTCAAGTTGGATAAGTTTAGGTTTAGGAGGGAGATAGGAAGAAACTGGTTCACAAATAGGGTGGTGGATGAGTGGAACAAGCTTAGCAACTTTGTAGTAAGTGCGGGAACTCTGGAAAGTTTCAAAAGGAGGCTAGATAGATTCATGGATGATAGAGAGTGGTAGTAACTCTCGACAGGAGCTGCCATGCACAGGCCAACCGGCCTATTGCAGACTCCTTATTTTCTTATGTTCTTATGTTCTTATGTAATAATGCTGAGGATTTTCCTCACAATTGCTGTTAGTGTTGCTACCTGTGAGAGGAGTTTTTCGAAACTAAAACTGATCAAGAATTACTTAAGATCTACAATGAGCACCTTGCGGTTGAGAAATCTTGCCATACTGTCTATAGAGCGACAATTGACAGATTAAATAGTTTTTGACAATGTCATTGAAGAATTTGCCAACAAAAAAAAACAAGAAAAGTTACTTTGTAGAAAGTTGTAGTTTTCATTTCAGAAATAAAGATGGTCCTAATTTTTTACACTTTTTTACTTTTTTCCCTATCCTATATGTCGTTTTTGCTTTTTGTTTAACTGTTACTTATAAAGTTTAAGTATGTTTGGGGTGTATTTAAAGCATACTATATTTGAGTATGTGAAAGTACAGTAATATTATAATGGTACACAAACTATTTAATATATATATATATATATAGAGTGAGTCACTGTGCAATATATGTATTTTTGTGGGTGCCGGGGGCTCAAGGGCCGCCCCGGGCGGCACACACTCTAGCTACGCCACTGCGTAGATCAGATTCATGTGGGTAATGTCACTGTTCACTGCCATGCAGGACAGAGGTTCGTACACAAAGAAATACATCATATTCATTAATAGTATATATAGGTCAGAGTCATGTGGGTGATGTCACTGTTCGCTGCCATGCAAAACATTGGTTCATATACATTGGACGTCATATTCTAATTGACGACTAATCAGTGTGGGCTAGCAAATTTGGGATAAACAACAAGAATGTCCCCAAGCACCCTAGATTCACTGTCGTAATTTCAAAGTTCATGATACAATAAGCCAGGTGGCCTGAAGTCTTTGACAGTGTCACATTCAATAATGTAGTGTTCAAGTGTATGCTTTAAAGGTTTATCACAAAGTTTACATGCTGAGTGTTCCGGTATGGGTACAGCGTTACTAACTTGCCAGATGTGTCTGTATCCAAGTCTAATTCTGGCCACGACTACATCACATTGTCTGAGTCTGTCATGCTGGCCATACCGGTACCTCTTGTCACAAAATTTTGTCATATTTACTAATGCTACAACTGCCAGGTCTCTCTGCAATTCTCGGTTCTTTCAGATCAGAATTCATGATTCTGACTTGAATGTTTTTAAGTACAGCATTGGACAGACCAAGGTCACGGTCAACTTTTTCTTTCTTATATGCCTCATTGGCCAGTCTATCAGCACGGTCATGATACCTAATTCCAACATGGGACGGAACCCACACAAATTCAATACGAGAGTTGTTCTCATCGGCAGTTATCACATTTCTTTTAATATCACATACAACTTCAGACATAGAACCTGACGGGCTGTTCATTGATTTCAAAGCACTTTGAGACGTTCGCCCCACACGGGGTCACAGCTCAAGATTGAAGAAGCCGCAAGTCCAGAAAACTGTGAGGGCAAACTTTTTCAGAGTGAGAGTTGTGAACTCTTGGAACAATCTACCAGAAAGTGTTGTGACGGCACCGAGTGTGAGCTCTTTCAAGACAAGACTTGACCAACACTGTAGCAGGTTTAGGTACATTCAGGAGCCGGTGCATGCCCACCCAGTACCTGCCAACAGAGACGTGACCGATCGCCCTAGCGGCTAACGAGCCGATCAGTGTTGAAAAGGATAAAAGTAAAGTAAATCAATCTACTGTACAGTTAACTTGCATTATGTGATCATTTTACTTAATATGATTTATCTATCTGTCTATTTATCTATCGTTTTTTTCTATCAACATTTTATTGTCTTTAATCAAACAAGTTAGTGTAAACTGTAAATGATATCATGGTTGAAGTTGAACCTATTAAATAGATCCGTGATTGTCTATTTATCCTGGCTAAAGAACGCTCAGTTAATCAGCTGTTGGCAACGCTGCTGGAGGCGGAGACGTGTGCCTAATAGTAAATGTTATAAAAACTGTCCACAACAACACTAGTATAAAATATTTTAAAATAATTGACCTAATATAAACTATACCCTTACAGTATGATAATATTAAGATCATTTTGGTTATAACAGAATAAGTTATTGTAGTTCATACCAGCTGAAATATAATGTTCTTCCTCGACACTTTATTACCTTAACAGGGTAAGGTGTAAACAAACCGTAGTTGTGTTACTTCTCATATACTGTTACTGTGGCTGTTTAAGTTTTCATAGTTTAGATAGACCAAGGGGACTGGAAAGGTAAACGACAGTATTCCCACGAACTGTATATACTTTAGCCGATAAACTCTGTTTCAATTGTACGTTTGTTAATTGTCGGCTGTCTTTTATCCTTGTTGTTAGTCGACCTGTCTTACAGGTGGTTGGTCAGTACAGTGTTAGCAGGTACTGGGTGTGTGTACAGTCTCAAACATGGATGTCTGAAGTGTTTGTTCACTTTTTTTATTAACCCCTGAGGTGTGGAACTGTGGATGATACACTGGTAGCACACTTCTGCCTCTCACCACTACAGGTCGAGATTGGTGTACCTCCAACTCTGCCCATTTTAAATAACCAACTCGGCCCACACATTACTAACACGGGTAAATTTTTTCTTTTGGACATGAGTCCCTAGGAGTTGACCAATATGTTTTTCCAGTGTATTTTTGGTGTGTTTTAAATGAATCTGACCTTAATTTTGGGCGGAAATTGCTAGTTTTTGGCCCCCATTCCCCTGCAACAATAATGGTGGGGAGATCCTGGGAAATCTGGGTTTTTGGGTGGGGGAGAAAACAAAAACGAGTCATCTGACCTAGCAAAACCTAAGCTAACTCCTCGCCGGGAGCACCGCCCCCGGACCCCGGGCAGGCCTAACCTGACCCCTAGCCGGGGGCGGACCCCTGGTAGCCCTAGCTTAAATTAACCTAAATGTTTCAGAAGTTAAAAACTTTGGGGCGCGCCATGTCCGAAAGTACAACACCTTAGTTAGAAGTGGAAGGACCAGGGATATGTAAGAATTGGATAGAATAATTGTCTTTCTTGTAAAACTCGGCAATAAACTTAAAAAAATCGTAGGAGCACAAGCGACAACTAACTTCCACCACGGCCATTGTGAAATTGGTCAATGAAATTAAAATCATACCCAGGCTGCTTCCTTTGAGAAAAATAAAATGTGATTGGTTGAAAAAAAATTCGTGTGATGAAATCGATACCTCATTGGTAACGACTGGATGACGTCAGTCAGCATTGCGCATGCGTGATGCTCAGATAACATCTCACAGACGAAGACTGAAAACTACTTGAAGTTAATTAAATTTAATTGTGTCGCTATTATCCATTTTTGCCATGAATATATGGGGTTCAAAATGCTCAGAATAGTGAGATCTAAATGTTTCAGTAGTTTATAACTTTCGGGGGCGCTGTCCTAAAGTAAAACAATACCCTGACTCGGCCCACCTTAGACACTTCAAACAAGTAGCTGACTAGAGGTTCAGGAATGAGTTTGATATATGTTTTATGTCTCTTTTGGTTCACTGAAAATAAGAAGAGTGTGAATGAGTGATCACCGAGGGTTCAACTGGTATGAAGGATGAATTTTATGAGTATGTTAGTAGAACTTGATCAATAAACCATGATTCACATTTGTAACCTGTGCTTCTCCAGGTGATTTCGAATAGAGTTTGAAATTATAGCTTCCAGCAATTTGCCTATAATTGCTGGTAAAATTCACCACGATTTATTCTCCAACTTATAGCCTTCCTTTGGCCAATAATATTCTTTAAATAATTATTTATCCATTTGGGGACATTGTTATTTGATCTGAGTTTTCTGTGTGGTATGTTCTGCCTTTGTGCATTAAGTAACTCATTATTTAAATTGTTGTGGAACTCGTCAACCTCAGATTTCATGATCAGGTCATCCTGAACCATCAAATTTTGTGAGGTTATTGTTGTCAGGTCTCCAGGCAAAGTGAGGTCGCCCTCTGTGTTGGTGTTTGATTACAGGATCAGTCACATTCTGAGTCCTGACCATGGCTGACCAATGCTTGGTATGCATGGCAATAGTGCATCCCCGACAGGAAGGACTCCAGTGTGATGGTTGCAACTTCTGGCAGCACCGGACGTGTGGGACAGACATCAGTTGATGCAACTACAGAAGAGCAGTACGAGAAGGGTTGGACATCGGTTGGAGATGTCACCGGTGCGCGCAGTTATCCACAATGGATCATCATCATGAAGACAACCTCCAACTTATGGCAGAGAGTACTAGGATTGCAGAACATTTTCTGGAAGAAGACATTATAGAAGCTAATTGTATTGCTGGAGCAACAGAGATTGTTGGTGCATCTAACATCAGTATCCAAGATCCCCTACCCAGAGAAATACATCCAAGAACTTAGAACATTACTTACGAGATAGTGTCAGGGTCATCCCAGAGAGAAAAAGATAAATTGGTAGACAGCCTTGGATATGCTTACACAGTAAAAAGAGAAACAACTGCTGCTGTTCATTGGCATTATGTTGTGAGGAACAAGAAGAGGAACTGCCTAATGACAGTTAGACAAGTAGGGGACGCATACTTCAGAGGACATCATCATCATTGCCATCCACCAGAAGCGGGTACTGCGGTGTCAAGCAAAGTTTCAACTATGGTAAAGAAGAAAGCCCTCGATGATGTGTTTCGGTCACGTGGCTGTTTTTCAGTAATGTTTGTACATCTATGCTGCTTTTTATCACCGTACTTTTGTACTTTTATCATTCATGCAAAAATAAATGTGTAAACTTTTACATTTTACTTTTTAGTCCGAGTTGGTTATTCGAGGTGGTCCGAGTTGGATGTGGGCCGAGTTGGCAATGGGCCGAGTTGGACTGTAACCGTCGAGATTCATTAGGGTAGAATGTGAGAAGCGATTTGTCTCGTTTGACTTTACTAAATACTGCAAGTTTTCTCTGGGTGCTCCTGTTTCCTTCTGTATAATCACTGGTTCTACAGGAGATGGCCCACACTGGCAAAGATAGAGCTATACAGTATACTGTACTTTATCCTCTTGTACTGCCTCACATGATTTGTAATCTCCAGATGGGAGTAAGCATGTTAATACATTAGTGTTCTTGCACACCTAAACAAGCTATCTTATGAACTTTTTGTACAAGTGAAAAGGGGTAACCATGTACTGGTAAAAGTGTAGCACTGACTTGAGGAAATTTTTCCACAGAAGAAAAAAAGGTTTAAGTGGCTTTTCTCATGTCCACAAAAAATCTGAAGTTACGCCATGTCATAGTAAGTTTTTTCTGCTTAATATGTCAGGGGGTGGAGCCCCCCTTGCTAGGAAGTTAGGTAAGGTTAAATAGGTTTCTTTGGTTAGGTTGGTGAGGTCTTCTAACGACGTTTTGGCCGCTTGTGTTTCTTATCAACGTAGGTTAGGTTAGGTTTAATTTATAAATAACCCCATTTTAACACATATGCCCAAACTGCAACAGTGTCCACTGCACAGTGAAATTGCTGTTTTAAATTCATTTTCCATGAAAAATTGTCGATAGGTATGTCATCAATAATTACTGATAAAAGCTTTCTTAACTTAAAGAGTAGCCCATATATATCCTAGGAATTGCAGTTTTATGTGTTTTGGACTTGCTATGGTTTTGTGACAGTAGAGTTGCCAGTGATCATTAAACTGGTTTATGCAGGACATAAGGAAAAAAGTTAGAAATTTAACCCCTGGCAGACATATTCTGCCACAGTTGTGGGACAGAGGATCATACTGTTCTGAAAGTGTACTGCAACTGTTGTGATATGTTTCTCATTGTTTATTGAACAAAAGTCAAGGTCATCCAATTCTAGAAAGTTTGTATAATTATTGACTATTTGCTCCAGAATTCCCAAACATAATAAGGATGTGATAACCATTATGAAATTTTACCAAGTGTCGCTAAGTGAAGAAAGTTTCATTTTCTTGTTCTTCTTTTACAGAGTCCACCGAACAAAAACCCTCACTTGTTTATGTAGAGTACTGTACAGTATATGAGGCTCAAACAATATGTCTTCTCATAAGTTTGAGTTGCTGGATGAGGAGGTGGAGGCACTTCTCGACCAGGTTACTGATAAGCTAGAGGTGAGGCATATACAGTATAACTAAACTTAACTGACAATTGACTGGATAGTTTCAGCGAACTTTGAATGATTTTTTTTAAGATTATTATTCATTTTACAGGTCCTGAATTACAGAGTTTTCTTATTATATGTACAGTACTGTATGTATCTTTCTTTGGCTGATAAACCATGCAATAGATATAACAATGAAAATTGCATGAGATTTAAACACTGTACTGTAGTATTGAGTTTATTCAGCTTGTTCAGAATTAGAGACTTAATCAGAATCTAAAGTTGTACAGATTTTGTTTAAAGTACAGTTACAGTAGACCGAGGAGAATAAATTTGATCTGGACACTGATTGAGTACAGTACAGGGTATGGTACAGTACAGTAGTTGTTTAGAGGGAATTAATTTTATAGTTTTAATCATTAAATAAAAATAATTACAAATCTTAAAGTATTTTATAAAGTTTGAAAATACATTACAGTGTTAAATAAAGGCAATATAAATTGTTACTTTCCAGATGTAAAATATAACACATTTTTATTTTCACGTGTATTACAGTGTGGTGTTGGACAGTGCAAAAGCCAAGAGGAGCGTAAGAATTTGTTGTCAGAAATTGAACGATCATTGAAAGATGCAAATGACTCACTGGTAGAGATGGATATTGAAATAAGGAAAGCTCCAGCTGATTACAGAAACACAATGACAAGCAAAGTACAACGATACCGGAATGAATTGTTAAGGTGAGTACTGTACAGTACTGTACTAATCACTGCTGTTCTTTTATTATATAGAATGTCTCTTGGTTATAGATGGCAAAGTCTGGGTACGTAGTGTCCTTTAGTAGCTTGGAAGAAATAATTGTTTAAATTTATCTCATTTTCATGCATTTGGTGTGGGGAAAAAATTTACATATGGTATTGGTGTCCATAATACTGTTTCTTGTTTTGTGTCAAAGGTCACAGTTGCAGCTGAAGGTAAGTGGTCTGATTTTTGTAATTTTAATGTCTTATCCATAAGTATCAAAAATCACTCCCTCAGGTTTATTCCTGCCATAATGTAGGGTGGCTGAAATCAAGAGCAAGCATAGACATACTGTACGTCCTTGTATTTTGTTACCGTTATTCATACTGTCATTCATTAATTCTAATGGCTGGTTCACCGTAATACTGTACAGTATAATTATTTTATATTTGCTAATAATTTTTTTTTTTTTTGTGGGGTCATATTCATGTGAGAGACAAACAACTGCTAGTGTGCATCCTCTGCTCACCTTTCCTGTTAGTGATGGGAGCATTTATTTGCTTATCCAAAATTTAGATTACATCCATAAGTGAAAGTGTTAAAAATTGTAAAGTGAATTATCTTGACCTCTTCTGCTAATAATTTTATCATGCACAATCCCACCATGCACCGCTCATTCATTTTCGTCTGCTATATGTGGTTGGTAGTTATTTGGGTCTGGTGGAGAATTTGAACATTGATGAAATTTGTGGGCAGTTAATTATGGCAAGAGGAAACTCTATAGACTTGGTTTTAAAAATCAGTTAGACTCTAACAGTATATCTCAGTTATATGTCTGTTCATGCTATTGTGCCATGATGTGATGATGATAATGTTTGTGGAAATAAAGGTTAAATATCTATATAGTGTCATATATTTATTCCTTAATGTCCTTTTAAGATTATTTATTCGTCATTGCCATCCTAGACAGGCTCTGATCACTTGAATGGTTTTGCACTGAAGCAGTTCGTTGCTCTCCATCATTTCATTTAATCTACAATTGGTTGCTTGTTCCATACAGTATTTACTTAGTCCACACATACACCCTTCTCAATCTTTATCTTGTTGGCACCAACAGAATGTGGAATTATTGTGGTGTGCTATTGTAGTGTACAGTATTATTGTTAAGTTTTTCAGTACAGTTCACTAGGATAGGTCTCCTTTGACAATACTGCTGTGTCTTGTACCTATTGTCAACTTCAGTCACTAATGGATGTAGGCCTGGGTTGTAAATTTTTATCTGGTGACCTTCAGCATAGTTTTAAAATTTTAATTTATAAGTCATCGATATTATATAATCCTTAATATCTTATCTAGCTGAAGTGTAAAGGCCTTCCCTAGCTATAGATCACCCTCATATAGAGGAAGGTGTTGCCTTGGCTATCACAGCAGTTGTGCTGTGATCTGGCTCTGCTGTATTATGATGTCATCTGCCAGTGTGTAGGCTCAGGTGAGATGGTAAAGTCAATAGGCATCACAGTTACTACCTCTAGTACTATATTTTTATATTATTTATCTTTTATTAATGTAAATTTTTAGATATCAGAGGCGGTTTGATCAAGAGAAGACAACTCACTCCCATATGAGCAATAGATCATCATTATTTTCCTCTGCCCAAGACAGTGATGGTTTTGATGCTGAAATTCGTAAACAGGTGTGTGATGTACAAATTATTTTGGCTTAAAATAGACTGAAACATTGATTAAGATACATTGTACTTTTGCATGAGAACATTGTCAATAATTAGGTCTGATGTTAAACATTTTCCAGATAAGACAAGGCACTGTAATCATGGAACGAACATCGGCAAGCATAGTGCGTTCTACCACAATAGCTGTAGAAACAGAACAAGTTGGTACAGAAGTCTTGGGTGAGTTAGGAACCCAAAGAGAAACCCTGACTCGAGCAAGAGACCGGCTGGTTGACACAGACGCTGAACTGAGTAGAAGCAGGAGAATAATTCGATCCATGTCACGCCACGTATTGTACAACAAGATACTTCTGATAATGATAATATTACTGGAGAGTGCAATACTCGGTGGTTTAGTGTATTGGAAGTTTATTATGAAGTGATTCCATTCCATTCCATATAGGTAGTACATCTTTATAAAAGGTATTTTATTGTGGAGATAACATAAGCTGCATTAGAATGAAGGTTATGTTGTATACCACAGAGTTTTATATGAAAGACTGTGGAAGTGTAGTGACAGTTATATGAATTGTAACTTGTTTACTGCTCAGATATTTATATTAAGTAAATCATTTCCTGCGTGTGAAGCACCAATAGACATGTCACTTACCGAACACTCATCCAGTACTACCCCATGACTTACCATTTTTCAGTTTTCCTGTCCTTCCTTCAGGTGTCTTCTTTCAGTTTTCCTGTCCTTCCTTCAGGTGTCTTCTTTCATTTTTCTTATCCTTTTTTCAGGTCTTCGTAATTGCCACAAGTTTTATCCAATATATACGCATACCCGTGCTGATATCCTTTTTGTCAAGTCAGTTTCCCTAGCTTGTAAAATTTACTTCTTCTACATGTAATATTGTGGTCAACCTTCTATTTATTCCTTCCTCTACTTATTATCCAATCTGCGTGTACTAATACCGATTGAGGTACTACTATAATCCACTTTCCTGTCCATGAACTTAACAGTTTTCTCAGCACACTGCTTACTGTACCTTTACTTCCTCTTCAACACTTAGGAGCACTGCACTCAGTATTGTATGTTACCTTTCTGGATAGTTATTATTGTCTCATGTATAAGCCAATGGTACAGAAGATCCTCTCCTCCTTGCCTAGCCAAAGCTATTCTAACATAACGTAGCCTAACATACCCAAATCTAAGATAAACTAACTTCACTCATCATATTGTAGTGTTACATAACCTAACCTAACATAATTTCACCTACCTTAAAATAGCCAAACCTTAGCTAAACAGACCAAGGGTAACACTCTTTTTTCACTTCATTGAAACATCAAGGGTCCAACAGAAATGATCATGACACTAGCTGTGAAACTATTGGTGTAGTTGTCATGTATACAGCAGTCGTCTCATTCTCAAGTTGCTTTTGCTTAACAGTTTTGTCCAATTCTTCTGTATATTTCACTATGTGCTCTAGAAATCAGAGCTTCTTTTCTCAAATGTTATGAATTTTGTCTGTTTTCTCGTAAATATTTGCACCATTGTCTGCTGCTCTTACAACTTAAGCTCCTGAAAGAAATAATGTACCTGTAGTATATGACTTCATAGGTTACATCCTTATAGGCTTGGATAAAGGCATGTCCCAACTCCCAAAAAGAGAAGAACAAAGTAACATATGAAAAGAGGTAGCTGCAGCTGGCCAGGCCCGTACTCGGCAGTTCTGTTGACCCATATTGCTCATCTGTCCAACCTATAGTTGCAGCTTCCCAGCAATTTCTGTTATTCGGTTAATATATATACTGTACTATAGTTATTTTGTGATATTTTAATTTCTAATATAATAAACAGTAACCATAATTAATAATTTCCCAAGGTGCTGCTTGTGAAAGGAAATGTGTATGCAATTGTGTGTATCTGATTTTGTGTACAGTACATGCTCTCTAACATTGATCAAGGGATTTCTATCAAACTTGGTATTGTATATGGGCATACAGTACCATGAAAAGATCAACGACAAGTTCAGTACTATACTATAATTAATATTCCCTGTTACTGTTGCCTAGCATTATGGTCCATCAGACTTAATACAGTACAGTACTTGTTTTGCAGGGGATTTGACTTCCCTCAGTAGTGATCACTTATAGTGTTCATGATTCTCTTTTAGGTGTATACAGTACATATATATCTTCTGGTAGAATATAGAAAAGTAGTTTGTAATTTTTACGTACATTTCAGTCTATCATTCCATGTGATTTTTAATATCTTCCTCTACATTTTTCAACTCGGAATACAGTATACTGTACAGTGATCTGTGATGTGATAGGATAAGTCTGATGTACAGAAATTGTTTTCAGAAGTGATAGTTTTTCTTGAGGCCAGTTCTCTTTCTGGAGGTCAGTTGTGTCAGTAATTTTTTTTTAGCATCAGCACCGAGATCTTACTTGTCAGTTAGGTTACTAAGTGTTTACAGTTGAACGTAAGTCTTTCACAAGATTAATTAATATTTCTCCTTTGACTTTTGCTCTGTTGTTATTTATTTTCTTGTAACTTCATTTCTGTTGTAAAGAAGAAAGGTTTCTTTGTGTGTGTGATAACACAAAGGTATTTTATGGGCATATATTTTTACAAGTATTACTACTGGGTATTTTACATTAAAATGACTGGAGACATAAAGAGGCAAAGTTTTTGGTGCTGTAACTTAGTTTGTCAAGTCATGAAGACTGTTTCAGAAAGTACAGTAGAGGCAAATACTTGTAACTGTTGACAACAAATACATGTGTTACTCCATTTTATAGGGGTTGCAGTTAAGCTGAGTGAAATGCTATCTTTTATTTTCTAGTTGTACTGTAGTTATAGAGCACCTGTACACTTCTTTTCTGCTACGAGCCCAAGGGTCAGGCCTGCAAACTTGTTGACACAGTATATAAGTTGCCTGAGCCATACTGGTCATGAAATGGGATTTCAGGACCAAACCCTCATTATTTTGTGTAGAATTCTTAATGTACAGTATCTGACGTTTAGGTGTCAAGATTATTTCAGGGAGGTAAAGGTTGACTGTAAGTAAGTGGAACTAATGTTGATTCACAGAAGTAGTAGACCCTTGCTCAAATTACCCTCCCAAATCAGTGAATACTATTCTTTTTAGTCACTGAGATGAGGTATGAGTGATCTGTGCAATATGTTCATAAATGACTTGATTATTTTCCAAAGAATAAGTAAATTTTTGAAGTTGTAACAAAAGGGGGATGGTTAACTAACATACTGTATGGTATCCAAGGAGCATGATATTAATTTTGGTGCATCTTGGTTTAATTCTTGCATTTCTTGGTTCATTATCATTTATGCATGGAATTTATATATATTTTTATATCCATGCCACCACTGTGGCCTTATTGACCCTTAAAGCTCAGGCCAACTTAGGAGTCTCTGAATGAGCTCTTGGGCACCAACATTTTAAAATCAATTTGCTCATTTGGTTGACATATACTAAGTGGAGGCTTTTGGCATCTTCTCCTTGGACACAGACATTCTCGAGCAAACATCAGTTGTATTCTGGACAGTATGGGAGGATCACATCTCATGATCCCCCAGCTGAGGGAGTTTAGTAAATAAAAATAACCATATCCTAAGCTCCATAAATACTGCACACAAGGTCCACAAATAAACCAAATTCCAAAACAGAGAGCCGCCACCCCCCTATTTTCGTCCTGCAAATACACGTGGATCCTCAGACCACCTGTCATTTAAATCCCATTCCAGCCACCATGGACCTTGATATAATAGTTAACTTTAATTTTTCATATTATAACATATAGTACTGTATACATATACAGTATATATAATATTATATACAGTACGTATATTATTATTATTGTTATTGGCCACCCGAGCTTTAGGGGTTAAAAATCAGTAAATTATTATCAAAATATTTTCCATCCCATATGTCAGTGCATGTCATGCATTTTGTCTGACAAGAAAATGAACAAGTCACATCCCATTATTATACAGTATTCCCGAATGAATTCATGGGATATCATAGAATCTGCGTGATGTATCCACCTTTGCCACAGGATATTTATCATGTCTGCACGATAACTTTAACAAAATCAGGTGGATACCTTTCTCATAAGGGGTAAACATTTATACTTGCATCTCCCATGGCAAAAAGCCTTTCAGCTAGGCTGCTTTTAGACAAGGTGCTAACCCACACCTATAGTGTAGTGCAATTTTGTGCACATTTATGACCTTGACGTTTTGACCTCAAAAGTATAGCCTGATTCGGGTATGTCAGGATGAACTTAAATGGCATGATTAATGATTCTTTTAATATTAATTCTTAAGTTATGTGGAAACAAACAGACAACTCACAGACAGATCTGAATACTCTACATTAGCCCAATACCATCAGCATAAATAACAAGGGAATTGAGGGCATTTGTTGGGATGTAAATTATTGCGTGTTTTACTTGATGCGATCATGTAAAGTCTAGCTTTAGTATCTATATAATGACCATATTATATGGTTCTTATTGTGTATTTAAATCTGGAAGGCACTAGTAAATACAAATGGCATTGTATGTATATGATACTTCGATAAATCTGCCTATGTTCATGTGAACTTGGATTTTAATACTGTACTGTATTATCACGTGTACAGTAACTGTTTTGATGAAAAATCCTAACCCTAGTAGGTTAGTCATCTATAATATATTGTTCAGTCTTCTGAAATCTTTCATGGAGAACTGGATATTTGTTCATTACTACTAGCCAATTGTAAATGTGTGCCTCTACAATTAGTTAAATATTGGAACTAAGAAAATTATATAAAAATGATACAAAGTGACTCTTGATTTGATAAAATACACTGTAGTGGCCCTCCTCTGACCACTACAAAGTGAAATAAAATTAATTAATCATTGCATTGTTTTATATAAAGGTCATTAACGAGTTTTGTTATAAGTACTTGCATTAATTTGTTGTATTTTACGTATATACAAAGATGATTAATTATTTTATATAGTTTGTTTACCCTTCTTATCACGTCTGTTGTTATGAGAATACAAGTAGAGGCCAGAATGGATGACTATAACCCAATCAAAGTTTCCTTGCAGCTGATTGGCTGATATAAATTGACAGGAGAAATTGAGAAAGGAATGCAGCGATATCTCTGTTAGCCGGAACAATTGGTGCAGAGCACTTCCGAGAATGAGAGATTTCCGGGTAATGAGACGACTCTCAAAAGCTGGAAAAAAATCCCTCTCCCTGGAATTTTTGGGTTAATGGAAAAGTATTCTCGGAAGTTCTAGAAATTGCACATTACATTATCTCTCGAACCCAGAAAAATATCCCCTATTCCCGGAATTTTCCAGGTAAGGGAAAAATTTTCTCGTAATATTCCAGAAAATGTGCCCCTCGGAAAATCATTCTCAAAGCCGAAGTTTTCTGGAAAATTCTGGCTATGGGAACGATTTTCCGAGAAAAATTTGATTCCGGCTTTCATAGACTTCCGGGTTTGAGGAATTCCGGCTACAATTCTTCCTAATTTAAATAAGAAGGGTTATAAAACTTGAGTGACAGATGATTAATTCCGCCTGTGACCTCGCGGGGTTCACCCAATCACGGCTCGGCTTTCATGTTGGGAACCTGGCCCAGTTTCACAAATGGACAGTTACATAGAGACAATCTGAGTCATCAGTGGAATTGTTGATCCCCAAATTGTGACCAAAAACAAACTGATTTATCAAAAGTACAATTTAAAGATGAAAAAAATCCATGTTACTAGAAATTTGGATAGTTTACCTTTCACAATCATTTCAGCCCATGCTCAGTGTTCAAAAGAAACATTTACTCGGCTCTACAGCATAATACAGTGGTCCCTCGGTTAACGAACGGTTCGGTTAACGAATTACCTCCCATAAGGATCTTCAATTCGGTTAACGAACAAAACTTCAATTAACGAAATCCTTACGAAAAACATGTTTTGTTGTGAGCATCAGCTGATGGGCTAGTCTGCCAACTCAGTTATCTGTTCTATGTTAACATTCGTTTCCAGTGGAGTAAATATCAAGAAAGTTGTGCTCTAATATTTTTGCATTTTTTATATTAAAATTATTAGTCATTTTAAAATTTAGTTAACATATCGATAATATATGCAGTACAGGGAACTAGTTTTTTGTGCGCCCACCAGGTGTCAGTTTGACTTTGTTAACAGTGGAGTGAACATCGATTTTGTTGGTGTCTTGAATATTTTTCCATTTTTACATTAAAATTATTGGTAATTCTGAAATTTAGTTCACATATTGATAACATATAGCGCAGTGCAGTGTTGATTTAAATAATCTTGAATTACACCTAGTGAACTTAAAATTTTATTGGTGAAATTACTGCATCAAGCATGGGTCCCCTGAAAGGTGATTTTTCCTCCATCCCCACTTCCTTCTCTTCTCCTCCACCCTCACTTCTAATTCCCATCATCATCATCATCAACCAGGAACCTTCTACATACACACCTCAAAGTAAGTGTACTTTACTGCATTTTTTTTTTACTTTGTATGTACTTTTCTGTGAGCTGGAACCAATTACCCAATATCCCATTGAAACAATGGATTTGGTTAACAAAATTTTCGGTTAACGAACGACTGTGGAATGAATTGTATTCGTTAACAGAGGGACCACTTTATTTGTTGGTGTCCTTATACCTTTGTTTAATACATAAATTCTGGTCAAGTGGACTGTGTGAGTAGTTCAGCTGTCTTGATTAAGGTCTGAAGAGAGGTCTGATGCAAGTATCTTGGTGTAACTGACAGTAGATGAGAATTTTAGCTCAGGTTTGTATGAAAAGTAGATAAGCTTATTTGAAGATTTTTTCTTGTAAACCTACAGTACAGTACAGTATAGTAATTACTTGTAGTACTGCACTGTGTAGTACTGTACTGTACATTGAAAGGGTAAAAATTATCAAATCTTTCCTCATAAATAAATACAACATTATATTGTATATAATGCAGTATGACTCTTAACCTTTGTAAATTTAATGGAATATACTGTACTGTATGGTATGGGTACAGGTTATATGGGAAGGACAAGTAACGATAAAGGATCACAGCCCTGCAAAAATTTTTTCAATGAGTGTGTATTTTGTTCTAGACTCAACCCCACTCCTTACTAAGAGATAAAAGAGTTGAAAGATAAAGGAAATCAATCAAAAAGCTTCTTGACATCGCATACAATAATTGACTTAAAACTTTATATAACTAAATTATTGAAGTTTAAATATGTTAAGTTTTCTATTACATGCCAAGAGAATTTATAGAACTGGACATTTTGACAGCTCCACTGATGGTAAAATATCTTAAGAAAAAGAACACTCATTGAACTTTTTTATTATTAATCCCATGTTAATAAGTTGTTGGAAGTTAGGGAGAAAACCTTGCAGGGAAAATAAACAAACTTTTAAGGAAATGGTTGATCCTCTGACTAAAACCAAAATCACAATGTTTCATAAACTGTATACATTTATTGTATTAAGGAATTGTGAAGGAACTCTTTGCTTACAGTGCTTACAGACAGATAGCACCATCATCATGCAGTGTACTGTATTTTATTGAATCTTTTGGAATGGGAAATAATAATTCAACGAGTGCCTGAAGTTATACATTAGTGCAAAACAATGTCCTTTACATCACACTACACCAACAACTTGATTCAAGATGTCTTCATCAGCTGATAGCATAAAATAATCTTCGGTGTTGAGGAAAAATACATTTTCTATTATAAAACTTGGCTGATTTGTCTATGTTTGAGCTTCCTCTTGAGTTCATAAAGTTTCCTGTCTAATTCCTCAATAGATAACTGAAAGAAAAGGAACTCAGAATGGAGATTTGTGGTAAAACAGACTAGCGGTATTCTGTAATTGCTTAGGAAAACTTATTTTTTATGAAATTGTTCACTTCAAACAAAACAATAAAAAAAATAATTCACACAAAATTCCATGAAATTTAGTTACATCTTGACACATATGGGATAAATTCATTAGTATGAGAGTTATAACAAGGGTTTAAATACAGTATAAACAATGCACAATACTGTACTGGCTTCAGTTTTAGGAAATACTTTAGTAACATGCAATCAATATCCTTCACTACAGGTATGCCACTTAAATATTTAATTTGGCTAACACCAGACAATTTTATTCAGCTCAGAGGTGACCCCATACACAGGGGTTAAGAGAGAGAGGAAAAAATATCATAGTAGAAGGATGTCATATATATATACTGTACTATGTTTAATAATGAGAATGATGGTTGAGAAAACACAGACTGAAGCCTTAAATATTTACTTACATCATCTTCAGCTGCTTTAATTTCTTTCTGCCTCGATGACGTCATAGGCAATAAAATTTCCTGAAAAAAACAAAACAAAATATTTAGTGTCATGGGTTAAGGCTTTGAGCTGGTAATAATAATAATAATAATAATAATTAACGGTTTATTGAAAGAGCATGGCAGCCAGAAGGCTGAAAATATACAGTTACATAATTGGGGAATGGGCCTCTTGATTTACAAATACAGTGGTCCCTCGGTAAACGAACACAATTCGTTCCAGAAGGTTGTTCGTTAACCGAAGCCATTGTTTCAATGGGATTTTGGGTAATTAGTTCCAGCTCATCGAAAATTACATACAAAGTAAAAATAAATGCAGTAAAGTACACTTACTTTGAGGTGTGTATGTAGAAGGCTCCTAGTTGATGATGATGATGATGGGAATTAGAAGTGGGGGTGGAGGAGAAGGGAGAAGAGAAGGAAGTGGGGGTGGAAGAGAACTCACCCCATGCTTCATGCAGTCATTTCACCCATAAAATTTTAAGTTCACTAGGTGTAATTCAAGATTATTTTCTTTAAATCAACACTGCACTGCACTATATATTGTCAATATGTAAAATACATTTCAAAATGACCAATAATTGTACTGTAAAAACGTAAAAATAGTTTATGTTCAAGAGAGTCTCAAGCAAGATGTTACCTCTACTGACCAGAGATACAAACTGATGCCTGTTTGGTGAGTTGAGTGGCTGTTTGGCACACTAAAAACTAGTTTCCTGTACTTAAATTATGTTAAATAATTGTTGAAATGACTACAAATTTTAATATAAAACTTGGAAAATTAATTATTGAATAGCACAACCTTCTTGATTTACTCAAATGGGAATGAATTTAAGCCCTAGAACCGATTACTGTACTGTATTGGCGGACTAATATTCCAGCTGGTGAGCAAGCGAAAACATGTTGAGAGGAATTTGTAAGGAATTCGTTAATCGAATTGAATATTCTCATGGAAGGTAATTCGTTAACTGAAATTTCGTTAACCGAGGCGTTCGTTAACCGAGGGACCACTGTAATATACAGTCATGCGCCAGTTAACGTCCTAGATACCTTCTTGGAAACGTGACGTTAACCGAAATGGACGTTGTCCGATCATCACATAAACTTTTTATTTATACTTACGTGTATGTGGACTACTATATATGTACATATACACTTTTACTCTTAAATCACTACTGTAATGTGATACAGGTGATTAAGTTTTATCTCTTGTGCAAAATACATGACATTTATATTAAAATTATTCACTGTTTTACAAGGATTCCAGCAACGGTGGGCTGATGGTGGAGAGGGAGGGAGGAATCAAGAGGGGGCGTGGGGGGAGGGGAGCGGTTTGACAGTTGGCACAGGCCCAGGTCTAACGCATGTATATTTATCAGTTCTTAGGTGACTAAGCTTCTCTCTTATAAAAAGCCAGTGAAATGACCTGGGTGAATATAATTAACATAGCTGGGATTCTTGTAACATACTGATTAATTTGAATATAAACATGCTATAATTTGCACTAGACAAAACAATTTTAGTACAGTAATCAAATTAGTGCATGTGCACTCCAGCTTTGCACTAAGAAATCTATGTAAATCTACCCAAAAATACAGTTGAAAAACTTTTTTATAAAATGTAGGACAGTACTGTACTCTAATGTACAACAATTTTTATCTCGAGCAAAATATATGACGTTTATATTCAAATTAATCTCTGTCTTGCAAGGTTTTCAGCAATGCAAATTATATTATCGTAACTTTAGTCTGAGATATTATATAAAATAAACATAAAGAAATCACCAATCTTTTATCTTGAACACGAGGGTGGTGGGAAGAGTGGAGGGGGGGTGGGAGGTGAGGTGACAGAATGTCTGGCATTTGTTTGTTTATTTATTTGAGATAAGATTTGACAGTTGGCGCCGAAGGCCTGCCTGCGTGTTTATACTTAAGAGTGACTAGGCTCTTCTCATAATTTTCCACCCAAACGACATGGGTGAATATAACTTACATTGGAGGGATTCTTGTAAGATAGTAATTTATTTGAATGTTTTTTTTCAATTTAAATTTTAATTGTTTATTCCTTAATAGAGGAAGCGGGATCCTAGTGCTGTCACTTGGTACCCCTGTACCATAACACCAGAAGCAACTGGCCAGTGTCACAAGTATATACAGTCATCCCTTGGTTATCGCGCCTAATTGGGACCCCGCCGATAACGAAAGTACAGAACCTATGGGATTTATTCTAATTGGTTACAGGCACCCAAGACCCAACCCCACGTTTCCCATTTTACGACCATTTATACCCACTAAATATATATATAATGCTGTGGTAAATATCATAAACACACATAGGCATGGGTACGCTTAATACTGTAGTCCACAAAACATGTAGCTATGCTTTTTTTTATTTGGTCCCCCGTCATACGAGTCCGTTTTCTTTCACATCAGGACGCCTGAGTCCTCCGTTTTCTCTCTTAATCTTAGAGTGCACCAGAAACTTTACTATTTTTAGTAATGCCACAGAATTTGAAATTGCAACCCCAATTGCAACTTGCAATTGTTGAGGCAACTAGATATGTCTGATTACAGCAAATGTGTTATTGTCAATTTGTAGGTGAAAGATTTTATACTCAATAGATGTAGGTTAACATTTCACCTGTAGGCAAATGCTTAGAAAAGCCTAAGTAAGGAAGCATATTCCTTTAACACATAATATCTGACCAGTATGGGGAGGATCATCGTGTCTCCGTCAGGGGGTCGTGGAGTGGCGGTCCAGCAGGCGTCACTTTTTTTTTTTTTTTGTTGGGGGCCATGGACGTATATGCGATCGGAAGTTGTTCGGTCGGACGTTAACCGGCGTATGACTGTACAAGTAACATAAGTGATACAGTATATAATAACTAGGTGGGGAGAAGGTCAAACTACAGGGCATTTCAACATAGTGACAGTGCAAAAAGTAAGATTGACTGGGAGTGAATACACTGGTTGATTACGAGTTATTGATAATTTTTATAATGGTTGGGACTGGGCTGTTCATATAGCGATCAGTTCATGCTCGTATGGGCTGGATGCGGTGGTGGTGTCAAACAGCAATTCTCGGACGAGGGATCTTAGGTGGTAGTAGGAGCCGGTGTCCAGGATGGTGCAGAAGCTTCTCACCAAATTTGCAGATGAGGTCGTGGTGAGGGTCAGTGTGTTGAGCGCTTCTTGATATGTGGAGTAGGAGGGGGAGAGAATAATCTTGCATGCCCTCTTTTGCACTTTTTATAAGTGTTTACGTTGTGTGGCATTTAGGGAGGAAGACCAGTTAGGGGAGGCACAGGTGAGCTTGGGAAGTAGGTATGAATGTTGAGTAAACACAGGAGCTCAGGGACAGGAACTCCGAGGGACTTGAGTCGGCGGAGGAGGTGGAGACGGAAACTGGAGGATTTGACAACTTCACTGACGTGTGGTTTCCAATTTAGTTTGTTGTCTATGGTGACGCCGAGGAGCTTAGTGGAATCGACAACCTGGAGTGTGTTGGGACCTAAAGTAATGGAAGGGGGTGGGACAACGTCGGAGGAGAGGTTGATGTGCATAACCACGGTCTTGGTATGGTTGATGGTGACTTGGTTGTTGGTGGCCCAGTTTTGGAGATTGTTCAATAAATCCTGAAGGGCGGTATAGTCGAGAGCAGAATTGTTGACACTGATCCCAATGGTGGAGTCGTCTACATATTTCCAGCGAGCAGGGGTTTCTCTTGGGGCATCATTGATAAGCATAAGGAAGCATAATGGTCCGTCCCATCTTGGTGCCTTGGAAGCGTACAGCTTGGCGTCGGTTACTGAGGAAGTCTGTAAGTCATGGTATAAAACTAATTCGAAACCCGAGGTCGATAGCTTTGTTGATGATTAAATTGTGGTTGACTAGGTCGAATGCCTTGGTGAATTCAATGAAGGCGACAGCTACAGACGTTTTTCGTTTCTCCAGATGGCGGTATATGTAGTCGAGAAAGCTGACAAGACACTGAGTGGTGGAGGAAGTTTTCATATTACCAAATTGCTGAGGATCTACGGTGCCTGCAATATCAGCATAGGCCCAGTCAAACACAAAACTTTCACAGATTAAGCTGGGTATTGGGGTGATTGCAATGGGTCGTAGCTGATTTAAGGATTGTGGGCTGGTTAACTTGGGCACTGGTGACACATATAAAGTCTTCCAGTCAGCTGGGCATCTGGCTTGACTGAGGGAAGCATTGATGATGGAGCAGAGGGGTTTAGCAAGCTCCAGGGAGAACTCCTTGAAGAGTTTCATTGGTATGTCAATAGGGGTGGTGGAGCGTTTTAACTTCAGTTTGTCCAGACGTTTTGCTACTTCAAATTCTTCTTCTAAGTCAGTGGGACAGGGGACTGGTAGGTAAGCATGGAGATTGGTTGTGTCAAGCCGGGGGAGCGTCTGGCATATAGTAGCGAAATGGTTACAGTGGTCCCTCGGTTAACGAGCGCCTCGGTTAATGAGATTTCAGTTAACGAGTTACCTTCCATAAGATTCTTAACTTCGATTAACGAGCAATCCCTCAATTAACGAGTTTCTTACGAGCCGACCTGAACATGTTTTCGCTTGCATTTAGCGGTCCACCAGCTGTAGTATTAGTCCGCCAATATAGTAATCGGTTCTAGGGCTTAAATTCCTTACCATTTTATTAAATATCAAGAAGTTTATACTACTGTATTCAATAATTTTAAAAGTTTAATATTAAATTTTTTAGTCATTTTAACAATTAGTGAATATAATTGAAGGTAAGGTCACTAGTTTCATGTGCGCCAAAAAGCCTGCCAACACACAATACAGGCGTCAGTCTTTGTGTCTTTTCAGTGGAGGTAACATCTTGCTTGAGACTCTTCAACTAAATGCTTTTTTTCTGTGTTTGCAAGCAAATTATTGGTAATTTTGAAATTTATTTTACATATTGACAATATATAATGCAGTGTTGATTTAAAGAAAATAATCTTGAATTACACCAAGAGAACTAAAATTTTATGGGTGCAATGACGCCCA